TCACTTTGCTTGAGTTAAAGTCCCCTGATTCATTCTGGCGAAAGGCACGAAGCCTCTGCGGAATTCAAGCACAAGTCAACTTGGAGCTGTCCGCCAACTCCTCAGACGTGGAAGACACTCGGATGTTGCGCGCCAGTCGTGACAAGCCAATGAGCCAAGGTCATTGCTGACTACAGTTCCGACCGATGACATTGTGGAAAGAAAACACGGGTGGAATGGGAGGCATCAGCCACCTGCCTCAGTATGAGAGTTTCACTGTCTTCTCCTGTCCAAGAGCTTTCATCTGCAGTCAAAAGTAGCGGTAATGTGATGCACAACACTTCCCCAAGCAGCGATTGAATGTGGACCACGGCTGGGGTTGAATTTGAAAAAAAAGACGCATCCTCGTCAAACCAAGGTTGACCTTTCAAAACGAGGCCTTTGTTTGCCTGGGAAGGGGGAAGGGTGGGAACAACGCATGCTGATTTGCAGGAAGTCTCCAGATTGGACCGCTCCTACTTTGACCGCTTTCGTGAACATGCTGAGCTTCGCTCCCCACACTCGGAGCCACATGCTTCCTGCTCGGTGACATGGCTCAAACTGCAAGGTGGTTGGCATATCAGCACAGCAGCATAGCACATCCCTCATTCATGTGATGGCCGTGCTACTTGATAAGGTTTGGAGCCTGGGCAGGGATATCTCGACCAAGGAGTGCTTGCTGATAGCCAACAGAGAGCTTGCTGGCCTTGGTTTCACTTAGTTTCGATAATGTTTTTGGCAGATTCAGCTGTGAGGATTCTCTCAGAACAATGATGGCTGGTGGCGACGCACGCTTTCACAATGATGGGAAGTGGATGCGTCTTGGCACGGAGAGCTGTGTGAGCATGCTATTGCTCAAGATGTTGGTTTTGTCAGCTCAAAGTCCGAATTCCATGATCTGCAAGGCATCGTCATCAGCTCACCTTTGACAATTCTGGTGGCAGGCTCATTGGAGTTGTCAAAGAAGTTTATCTTGGAGGATTTGAGATGGTTTTGGCAGGTTGCCTGTCCAGAGAAATATGAGATCCTACTTTGACCGCAGCAGGGACTTCCCCTCTGAGGCTGGTGTGGGCAGGGGTTCTTACAATCATGGCGACATGCTGGTCACACTTAATTATGCAGCTGGGTAATCTCTTGTGCAGCACTTTTTGAGGGAGAGCTATTTATTTTAGTTTTTTTTTTTTAATTCCTGCTTTTCCGCTGTTCCGGCTTCTCTGCTTTTCTGCTTTCATGCTGTTCAACTTGTCCGCTTTTTTTGCTCTTCTTGGATCCGAAAGAAACCCCAAAGAAATTCTAAATGAAAGCCAGGAGAGACCCTAAATGAATCTAAATGACACCCTAAAGAAACCCTAAATGAAACCTGAAATGAATCCAAGAAAAAACCTAAATTAAAGCCTAAAGAAACCTTAAAGATACCCCAAAAAGAAACCCAGATGAACGTTTGGAGTACCAACATGTAGCGAATACCATGCAAAATGAGAGGTCATGAACGTTTGAAGTACCAACATGCAGCAAATACCATACAAACTGAGAGGTTGACGTGCCAAAAATATAGCAAATACCGTGCAAAATGACAGGTTCTAGTTCCAAACTGTCGCGAATACAAGGCAAATGGTACCAGGAAAGAAATCCAAAAACAAAAACAAACCTCATCAAGAAAACGTAAAACTATTCTTCACCCCTTTTTGAGTGTGGCAACGTGTTTGACTCATTTCAATCTTCCAAGTGTTGAGGCATGCAAGACGGTTTTCCCACTCTCTAAAAGCGCAGCGTCCCCAAAATTCCGAACAGCCATTTAGTCCGTTCATAGCCAAGGAGTGTCACCGTGTATCATTATTTATTGATGTTGCTCCAGTTTTTTGCACCCTCCAATCTGCACAGCCGAATACTACGTACTGCCTCAGCATACACAAACCGAAGAGGCAAGTAGCGTGCAGCTTGAGGAGGTTTTGCCAGAAGATGATTCTAGGCAGAGACAGAGCACAGGCACTGGTCGCAATTGTTGTTGGACAGTGTTCAAAACCCTGGTTGGTTGATGGTTACAGGGGGTGATACCAACCAATGTAGTGGAGATTATCACAATCCTTTCGGCGTTTGCAGAGGACTGGCTTTCTCGACTCTTGACAGAAATACTTGGGCATTCCGACGACCTTTTCCCGCCCGAGGACCCGCAGCGGGCTGGTAATTTCACACTGCTGACGGCTGCCGCCCTTCGCAAGCGCCGATGTCCTTGCCTTATGATCCACTCATGAGCCACGTATATATTGAGTTTATGAGTCAATGTTCTTGAGCTTCTCGGTCAAGCGAAGACAGACAAGCCCGAAATTCGCAGGGCTTGGTTTAGTGGCTATAGGCAAGCTCAAAGAAGAGGGGAAGTTGAAGGTGGACGTTTGGAGCCTGTCAGAGAAGCCACAGAAGCAGAAGGCCGAGCCCTTATGTGCTGCATTGATCGATGATTTGGTGAATGCATGTGAATGCTATACACTGAAATGCTTTGAAATGCTTTGAATATCTTTGAGATGCTGAGTTTGCATGAGTTTACATGAGTTTACTGCATTTACCGAACACTGGTTGGTTGTAGATGTATGGAGTCAGCATCAGCCGAGAGGTTCGCATCGAAGAGTCCTTTCAGAGCTGCGTGACCTGGCCAGAACGCTTCGTGGAGTGCCGACTGTTTTACCAAACTCAGAACAGGGAAGCCATGGGAAGCCATGGGAAGCCATGGGAAGCCATGGGAAGCCTGCTGGTGTTGAGACATCTTAGAGAGCTTCAATTCATTTTGTGCCGAGGTTGGCGATCCCTCCATGAGCAAAGCTCAAAAGGAGAAACGGCGATCGAAATGGATGTCGAACCACCATGTTGTGTATCACACTTAGAGAAGTTGAAGGGATGAGCTCACACTGGAGTGAGGCATTTGCTGGAAGTCTTGTCATTTCATTGCCTTCCCTTTCCTTTACGACTGAGCTGTATCTGGCACTGCCTCCACAAATTAGGGACGCTTTGGCAGGATGCTTCTCGCCCCTACCCAGCCCTCGGCCAAAAGAATTTGCCTTGCCACGGGAGTCGTCATTCTCCACGCTGCCGACACCATCATTGCCAGCTTCGCGATCAGTATCGCCATCGCGGTCAGCATCGTCGTCGTCGTCGTCGTCCTTATCGCCATCATATCACCATGACCATGACCATCCCCATCACCATCGCCGCCACCATCGCCGCCACTATTACCGCCATTGTCGCCATTGCCACCACCACTGCCCCCACTGTCACCACTGCCACCACCGCCAGTACAAACATAAACATAAACCATAAACCATCATCATCATCATCATCATCAGCATCAGCATCATCATCATCATCATCATCATCATCATCATCATCATCATCATCATCACCATCACCATCACCATCAGCATCAGCATCAGCATCAGAATCAGCATCAGCATCAGCATCAGCATCAGCATCAGCGTCAGCGTCAGCGTCAGCGTCAGCGTCATCGTCATCGTCATCGTCATCGTCATCGTCATCGTCATCGTCATCATCATCATCATCATCATCATCAGCATCAGCATCAGCATCAGCATCACCACCACCATCATCATCATCATCATCAGCATCAGCATCATCATCATCATCATCCTCCTCCTCCTCCTCATCCTCATCCTCATCCTTATCCGCATCCTCATCCTCATCCTCATCGTCATCGTCATCGTCATGGTCATCGTCGTCCTCCTCCTCATCGTCGTCGTCCTCGTCCTCGTCCTCGTCATCATTTTTTGGCATTCCTGTTGCCCCCTATTTGGCCCTATTTGATTGATCCCAGGCCTTTTATCACCATTTAAACTTAAACTAAAGGGCGGCACAATTGTGGCGTGCTTGCCAGATTATTGCCTTGTCATCGCCACTTTGCCCTTCTGGTTGCTTTTGGTCTTGGTTTTGGGGCTGGGCTGAGGTTCTGACAGCTAGCAGAAGTGGAGATTCCCTTTTAAAGATGAGTTGACTGACCGTGCCAATGATGCCCTGGAAGAAAATTGGGAGTTTAGCAAAACACCATCAACTATCATAGTAGTTTTTTTTGGGGCATGCGCGCAGCACGGCGAAGGCGTGCTTGCAGCGCACGGAGGAGTTTCACTCAAACATGCTGCCGGTTTACAGCATGTAGATTGAGGAGAAAAAATCCCCGTGCAGCCTAAGCCAACCTGTGAAGCTGCCGAGACATGCTGCTGACACCTGTGAAGAGTTTCTGAAATCTCTGGCGCTGCATGGCATCTCAGTGAGAAGGACAGCGATGATTTTCTGGACTTGGCTCAAGCTTTGGGAACGGGGTGCCGTAGAGAATCTGCCGGCATCCTGAGTTTCACCGGGCTTGAAATGGTTCACTGGAGAGGACCCAACACCCAGAGCCTCGCAAATGAGGGCAAAACTTCACCAAACCAGCCAGCAAAATCGAACTGACAAAATCTTTTGCCTGATATGTCTTCAGCTACAGAGCCCACAGCCCCAACTTGCATCAACTTGCTGGTTTTGTGCCCTTGACGCTGCCCGTTACAGATCATAGCTGCATTAGTAGCAGAGATGGCGGTCTGCGCATGTGGTGCTGTTCGGTGGCTCAGTATGCTGGAACAAAGTCAGCTGAACTCAGTTGGAGCTTCTTTGAAGGCTCCTGCGCTGCCAAAGCGCATCAGGAAGGATGCGTTGGAGGCAAGGTACAAGTTGTTGTAAGCTGCATTAAACTCTCCAAGTTCAGCAAACAGCTCGGAATCTTCACTGGAAGTCCTCGGACTCTTGGCTCCTGCTTTTGAACATTATGCCCACTAGCTTGGCCCAAGCGACGGTGACCAAAAAGTTCACATCAATCAAATCGCTAGAAAAACACCTACTGCCTACTGCATATTAGTGATAGTGCATACAAATAGCCTCAGATAACCACATCGCACGGATTGCTGTAGATTTTGGCGTGAAAGAGCTGCCAGATCCCTTTGGCAATTTCAGTTGCGCTTGGTCAGCACAGACCGTTCGTCTCCATGATCCACTGCTTCAACGCAGTGCAGAAGTGTTGCTCAGGCATCAACATGCAGCATCACTGCTTTTGCAGACCTTATGCTCGATGCGTTCGTGTTAGCTGTTTTAAAGTTTTGATTGTCGAATTTTGCGTTCCAATATCACATGATCCTTGGAGCTTGGTCAGGGCTCTGCGATGGATGCGGAAATGCATGTGAAGCTTGCGGCCGTTGCTCTGTAGACCTCTGCGGCGGCTGTGAGCAAACCTGCAAGTCGGTGTCTTAGTCCCTGCGCCCATGATTGAAGAGCGAAGCATTTTCTTTTTCATCACATTTCTTCTATCTAGTGAATCCAGTGGTTTCCCATGAATTTTCGAAGGCATTTTCCCAGTAACATGTTGTAACCTTCGCTCAGGACCTGCTGCAGGCCACTAGCCACAATCACCAGCAAACCTTTGGGCTGCTTCGTGATAATCGTTGGATGCTCAGTCGAATGAAGGATCAGTGCGATGCTAAGACAATTTGTCAGCAGTCCAGTCTTAGTGACATGCGTCCAACCCCCTAAAACATCCAAAAACTATGTGAAATATAATATGCTTAAAAAAAACTCCTGAGTCATCCCATTTGTTCTTGTCAGCATTTCATACCCTTCAGGGATTTGGTGGTTGGATAAGTCTAGTCATTCTTGATCAGTGCGTTCTGCGCTTTCGACTTACGTGAATAGATTCCCACAATAGATAACCCAGAAACCTGAACCTAAAAACCAGGGACACACCATCTGATTTTTGACCTGTCAGCCAGTTGCTATTGAGCCTGTCGGATCAGCCAAGTTCGGATATGAGTATTTCCCACTGAGGCCGCAGTGTTGAACCTTCCTGCAGCCGCCTTTGCCACTGGTCTGAAACCTCGATGCCTTGCCCTGTTGAACCCCCCAGGTTCACGGTTCAAGGCTTGTCCCTGCCTAGGCTATTGCCAGCCTGCAGAACCCACAGCTGCGGGCTTGTAAGGTGCCATGCTGTCGGGAGAAGGTTCTTGGGGACGGCAAACCTTTTCAAACCTGGGTGGGCTCTGCGAATCTCTCACAAGTATCGCAGACCACTGGCTCTGTCATCAAAGCTGTCAGCCGTGGTGCCAGGTTAGCAATTTCTGCTACGGAACTGTTGGTATAGCTTTGAGTCGAGCTTAGCGAGATGCCAAGAATTACGATAATTCGCACTCAGTTTGGGTCATTATGATTAGGGCCATTAGGGCAAAGCAGAGATCGAAGAAACTCAGGATCAATGTGACCTTCTCCCTGTACCTTCAGTGGCGCTTGGACCTTTCGATTCGATCTGGCACAGAGCAGGGTGCACGCGCGCTTGTGCAGGAGGCGGCAGCAAACACCTTGACAGGTGAAGTATCCACCATGGACACATCAGAATCAGAACACAATTACCATCAATTTCTCATGATATTTCAAGGCTTGTTGGTGGTTTCCATCCTTTGGAAGCTGATCCCGACGTATCCCCAAATTACTGTTTTTTGATGTTCGAAAAGGCAGAACCTGCGAACCGGTGAACTGATGTCCAGGCGTCTCAAATTATTCTGTATGACTTCGGCTTCTGCTTTTATGTCATGTTCTTCGTTTTCAGTGTGGTCTACAGTTTCCTTGGCATCGGGCAACTTGGCTCACTAAGTATATGACATGATTATGCAATTTCATGATGCATGTGTGAACAACGATTAAGTGTTCTTCACACTCATAATATATAAATTTTCTCTTGAGCTTTGTATGCAGCCTCAGGGCAAGATGCCATTCCTTGACCAAGGTGGAGTGCAGATTGTCCCGCTCGTGACTCCGCTCCCATCTGGGCTGCAGTCTTCCTGTTACTCTTTGCATTTTGGACGGCCCTGTTCAGCTGCTGTTGGGGCACCTTGATTGTGACAGTCACACAGGTTTTTTTTTGGTCGTTTGCTAAGTCCAGCGACTGGTTCCCAAAATCATGGCTCCACGCTGAAGTGGCAAGCCGCGGCAAGCCAGTCCCATCTCAGGACTCGCTGCAAGCTGTTGGGGCGTTCTGGAGACCATTGGCATCTCATCATCCTTTGCAAACCTCTTCTTCGGCAGTACCAACTCTGCAAGGGAGAGGCCGGCATTTGTCCCAGCAGTTCCACCAGCAGCCCCGGTATGGCAAACGCAGCCTCAGCAACTTGGCTGATCTCTTGGGCCAAGTCAAAATATTCAAAATTCCAAAATCCTACTGGTATGGTTTCTCGATGTTTATCTTCATTTTCGCCGTTAGACTTGCCATTTTGGGGTATTTGGTATCCACCTTTTTGGGACAACCCCCTATATGGAGTTTTCTGCCAGATGCTTTACTGCAACTTTTCCGCAAGGCCTCCAGGGGGCGCAACTGCATCGCAGGCGCTCTATGGTGGCCAATGAGAGCTCTTGAGCGGCAAGGGGGTTGAGCCTCATCTGATTGTTCACAATTCTATGGGGTGTGATGTAAGGCAGGTTCTCAAAGAAGCATGGTGAAATCCATCTCTGGAGTTGGAAGACTTGCATGGAAGATGCTGATGCCGCTCCTGTGGCAGATGAATGATATTGAATGATATTGAACGATACTGATTTAACATTTAAAGTAATATATAAATGTATGTAGTATGTATATATAGATATATGAATGTATATATATATTTCACACACACATATGTATATATATATTCTCATGTCAAATTTGCAAAGGCTGTTTGGAAGCCTGAGCCAAGTCTTGTGAATGAAGAATCGATTGCGACGAAATGGACTGATGCTGCGCATGAACATGTCATTTCTGGCTGCACTTAGCAGCCATGCAGCCGTCAGAAGCCAGTGAGGAAGTGGCATGGAAGAAAGGGGCGCAGTTCGCAGAGTGTTCAGCTTCGACTGTGGGAATATTTTGTTCAGAAATCTGCCTAGCTCAGATGTGGAAGCTGCTGGAGGGATGTCAAGGAATGTTGAGGAAACCTGGGCAGGAACTACAGATGGCAAAGAGGGATTCATGCAGCAACTTCCCATCAAAGCGTTCATGCCGATCCCTGGTACCAAGTCACTCTGTGTCACTCTTTCGGGTAGAAGTACTGTATAGGGTCGGGGGGACCTATATTACTGTCCCATTCTTATATTTGTGGCCAGACTATGACGTCATCCACCAGCCTCACTGCTGCTGAAGTGAAGGCACGGTCTGCTTTGCAGCTTGCCATCATAGACGGCCCAAACTGTCACTCCTCCACTTCTTTCATATTCTTGCCAGCCCAGGCGTTGTATGCACGTTTTAGACGCTTAGCACCATCAGGCAGGTTCCTTCAGCAGAGGTGTTTGGCAATTCGCTTACAGACCTTATGATATGTATATATATACATATATATATATATACATATACATGTAACATATATAAGATTATATATGTACTATGTACATATGTTCATGCTGTTGACATGCGCAGGCTACTTGCTAAAGCAGCAGTTCCAGCAAACTATGGGCGTCATGGGCCTCACAGATGATCACTTCTTGGCGGATCGCATGTTTGAAGTGCCCGCAGCTTAAGCTGAGCTGGCTCATGATGCTCATGCCGAAGCCCACTTTTTGTGGCCAAGGTTCGACTCGAACCAGGATGGCCGGTTGAGCTTTGAAGAGTTTGCTTCAGCGCAAGAGACTGAGGGATTCCAACAGAACTGGAGGAGGACCGATGTAAAAAGATGGAGAAAAAGGCAGGAAGTGAAATGCTGTGATGGTCTTCGGCCTTCAATGGCTTTCTTCCCTCTTGTATTCTATTTGCACATACTTGCGCCTAGGCTAGCCATTATGATCCGCGGAAGTGAGGACGTGCTGATATGCTCTTGAAAAAGCCGCTGTGTCGCAAGTGAGCCACCCAGAACACGTGTGACATGTTAGGACGAGAAGCTGAAATTGAGTTTTAAGATGGTCGCTGGAAGAGAGGCACTTGAACGCGAAACGATGAGCAAGTGATTGGCATGAGAAATTGCAAATGGCAGATGAAGATGAGGGCAATGATAAGATATGATAAGCACATATCTTATACATCATATAACATATAACCAAGTGATGATTGCGCTTCAGGCAAAAGGTCTTCATCTTGAAGACTTCCAACACTTAGCAAGGTCCTCAACAGAGCAGAATGGGATCTACAGCACCTGGGCGACCTTGGCGAGTCATGGTTAGGTGAAGACAGCGACAGTGGGCAATTTGTCGCATGTTTGGCATCATAAGCGACAGTGTTGCTTCAATGTGTTTTAGGTCGCTTCCTGCAACCACATGATGCTTGCACCTCAGATGCTGATGCAGAGACTGTTTGAGACCTCAGCGAAGAGCTGCTGGATGCTCGGGCCAGGTCCTCCCTAGTTGCACCAACAGGGCTGCGGCCTCAGGTGTCGCTCATCCACCACGATCAATCACTGCAATCGGAAAAACGTGCAGCTGCTCATAGCTGCTCATAGCTGCTCAACAGAAGTTGGGTTCAGAAGGTTCATGTAATTCATGTATGTTGGTGTCGTTTTTTTGCTACTTATGGCATGTCACATATTGTCTCGCAAAATGAGGCGCTTGACCACCGATGAGGCCAGTTAGCCATAGTTAACCCTTTATCGGCCCTTTAATTTGTCTCAGGCTGAACTTTATGTTAGATGAATTGTAAGCTCCAAACAAGTGACCCACTGCAACGGCATTGGAGCTGAGCTGTCCGAGTCTTTGGTTTCTTTTGAGGATGTCAAGCGGCTATTTCACGACCTTGCCTCCGAAAGTGAGGGCGAGGTAGGGAATCCCATGGCATCCCCTGGCATCCCCTGGCATCCCCTGGCATCCAGGAAGTCATTAGCCTGGAAGCCTACAAGGCTGCAGCACAGGAGAGTGCTGAATTCCTAGCCTGCCTTGGTATTGAGCCAGGGGCTCAGATGGGGCTCAGATGCACCCAACCCATAAGTGTCGCACGACAGGAATGAATACGCGCATGTTGACCAAAGTTTAAGTCACAAAAAGTCACTATTGCATTCATCACAGTATGGGAGACATACGGTGCACATGTTTGCACAGGCAGCTGGGAATGGTTGTCTTTCCGGAACGTTTTGGCTTACCTAAACTTTAATTTTGGTGGCCAGAGCCACCAGCCTGTGTAAATAGACAGTTTCCAGATCAGAAAGGATGAGGGCATAAAGCACCAGAAGTCAGCTTTGGAATGCAGTGCCTGGAGCAAGTTGCACCTTCACGTGCGCCAGTCAAACCCAGCTACAAGAAGATCAAGCATGAAATCAAACAAGAGTCTGTCGATGAAGACAAACATGGCGAAGTTGAATGGGAGCAAGAGCCAGGCAGACCAGCATATGCAGGCTGGGAAGGTGATGGCACAGACCCGCCAAAACAGGAGGAAGAGTTTGGATATGCAAACCCTGAAGACCATTCCGCATACGCAGGCTGGGAAGATGAGGGTGCAGACCAGCAAGAACCAGAATCAGAAGACACGCTTGGATATGCAAACCCTGAAGGCCAGCCCGCATACGCAGGCTGGGAAGATGAGGGTGCAGACCAGCAAGAACCAGAAGACACGCTTGGATATGCAAACCCTGAAGGCCAGCCCGCATACGCAGGCTGGGAAGATGAGGGTGCAGACCAGCAAGAACCAGAAGACACGCTTGGATATGCAAACCCTGAAGGCCAGCCCGCATACGCAGGCTGGGAAGATGAGGGTGCAGACCAGCAAGAACCAGAAGACACGCTTGGATATGCAAACCCTGAAGGCCAGCCCGCATACGCAGGCTGGGAAGATGAGGGTGCAGACCAGCAAGAACCAGAAGACACGCTTGGATATGCAAACCCTGAAGGCCAGCCCGCATATGCAGGCTGGGAAGGTGAGGGTGCAGACCAACAAGAACAACAAGAAGAGTTTGGAAATGGATATGCAAACCCTGAAGGCCGGCCTGCATATGCAGGCTGGGAAGGTGAGGGTGTAGATCAGCAAGAACAACAAGAAGAGTTTGGAAATGGATATGCAAACCCTGAAGGCCAGCCTGCATACGCAGGCTGGAAAGGTGAGGGTGCAGACCAGCAAGAACAAGCGGACGAGCCTGGATATGCAAACCCTGAAGACCATTCCGCATTCGCAGGCTGGGAAGATGAGGGTGCAGACCAGCAAGAACAAGCAGAAGAGCCTGGATATGCAGACCCTGAAGGCCAGCCCGCATATGCAGGCTGGGAAGATGAGGGTGCAGACCAGCAAGAACAAGAAGATGAGCCTGGATATGCAAACCCTGAAGGCCGGCCTGAATCGGCAGGCTGGGAAGATGAGGGTGCAGACCAGCAAGAACAACAAGAAGCGTCTGGAAATGGATATGCAAACCCTGAAGACCAGCCCTCATTCGTAGGCTGGGAAGGTGAGAGCGCAGACAAGACAAAACATGGCCAAGAGTGGAAGTATGCGAGGTGTGGAGAGCAATCCGCATATGCAGAATGGTATGGAGCGAGCTCAAAAGAACAGGAAGAAGAGTGGAAGTATACCGGGTGGGAAGGTGACGCTCCTACACAAGCAACCCAAACTTTGAATGGTTGGGGCTATTCGAAGCAAGGCTACGAGATAAAACGAGACGACTCTGAAGCAAGGTTGATGCTGACAATGCCTGGTTTTGCCAAATGGCACATCTCCAGAATGATTGGCAAACGAGGCAGCAATTTGTTGGAAATAGCACATGCTTCTGGATGCAAAGTTCATTTGTGCGGCAGAGATTCTAATAGACCGACTGATGAACCAAACTATTTATTGATCCGTGGGAATCGGGCTCATGTGGAAACAGCCTTGCAGATGGCATGTGAGAAGGTCAAGGATGTTTTGGAGACAGACATCCCCATTTGTGACCACTGTGGTGCAGATCACAAGAGTCGAGACTGTCCCACTGCAAGCCTTCCCTTTGTGCACCAAATCTTCCTCGAGGAAGGCACCAAAGTGGGTTTCATCATCGGCAGTGGGGGTCGAAATGTTGCCCCCATCAAAGAAGCGACCGGCGCCTTGATCAGAATGTGCGGCATTGGGTCTGGGCAATTGCATGCAAACGAACCTTTGCATATGAGGATCGAGTGCAAGACTCAGGAAGCACTAGATGTGGCTGTCGACATGGCCAGCAACTTGATAGATCGGGTGGTGTCTTGGTCACCTTATGACTCCCTGCCGCCCAAGGATCATGTGTTTGCATATCAGAAGAAAATCATTTTGGACATGGGAAAGTTCCCAGAAGACTTTGACAGTTTGAACGCCCATCTCCTTGGCCAAGGGGGGTCAAACTTCCGATGCATTCATGACCTCACCGGCGCCTGGTTGTGGCTTCGAGGGGAGGGCTCCGGTGCTGCTGGTGCAGTGGAACCACTGCATATCTTGATCGAGCATGACACCGAAGACAAGCTGGAGAAGGCCGTGGGAATGGTTGAGGAGCTCATCAAAAGCGTTGAGGCATTGCTGGTGGACACGGTTTGCAATGTTTGTGGTGGCCCACACTTCACCTATCGCTGTTCAAAGGCTAACAGTGCAGGTTACCTGAAGGAAATGCGCAGCAAAGGCACCGGAAAAGGTTGCTCCGACGTGCCCAGCCAGGACCCAAACTTCTCTCAAGAGGAGTCCTCCAATCCCAGCAAACGTGCAAAATATCATTGGTGAGATTGACCGTCCTCCGAAAAAGTATGATTTGTAGATTTCAAGGCTGCCAGCTTGCTCATCGACTTCGCCATGTGGATGCGTTCCTTGAAAATGACTTGGTGATCCGATCTTCGGCATTAGCATGCATTAGCATGCATTAGCTGGAAGGTGCTTGAAGGTGCAGTTTGAGGAACAGCTATGCTAGCAATCGGACAATGTAGACTCTTGACTGCCAGCATTCACAGACACGGTGGTTCAAAAAGGTGCTGACAGGGTCTGAAGAATCTTGAGCCTTACGTTGCTGCCAGTCTCAGCAGAAGTTGCCTTTCGAGATCTTGCGATTTTTTTCTGCCTTCAGCTGCCAAAAGGCCTATCGGCGGACGGTCGGTTCCCAGCAGGAAGCATAGGTCAGGCACTCAGTGAAGTCTGGTTTTGAGGCCATCAATTGGGCTTTACATACTTTTACAACCTTTGATTACTGCTTTGCAGGACTTCCGTAATTTCAAACGCTCCAGCCTGCAGCTGAGTCAAGATCATCTTGAGAATACTTCCAAGATCTTCCATGTATCAAATGTATCAGTTTGGCATTGAAGGCTCCGCCGGCTGATTGCGCATCCATTCCCAGGGGTCACGTAGAGGCCTGCATGTTTTGGGGATTCTGGGCGGATGCTGTCATTGAACGAAGGCGTATGGAGGACTTGTGGTAGTTGGACACGCTCATGTCAGTTGCAGGGTTCTCAATGGGCCATCCGTAAGCACAGGAGCTGCAGCGACGTATCGCCTCACTCCAGAAGGCTGGGAACAACCTTGAAGCATAAATGTCTTTAGGATTCTTTAGGGGCGATGCAACCTATTTGGCATGTTTGGCAGCGAGTGGTCGGAATGCGTTTAGGTAACAATTTGTTTGACGTAAACAGGACCTGCAGATTGTTGCGACATCATGACGGGCCTTTTGGCTTCATATGGCTTCATCCCGTGGGAATCCGTGGGATATGTGATGCATCGAAGCTGAAGAACATTTCACATAAGGATCATGAGGACAGACACGACCAGATCAAGTGGCTCGAAGCCTTCGAAGCCGAAAAAAAAACCTACGAGCCTTCCGTACTTTGCACCACTCACACCTTACTGGCCTCCTGGTGGAGGCATTAATGGGCGTCAATGTATGTCAATGTCATTACTATACTGGAGGAAAAAGATCTGCAATGACCTTTTTCCATTTGCATACTCAAGAAACTAGCCCCACTTGACGTTATTTGCCGATTTCGAGGCCTTGCATTGGGCATGTTGTATATGTTTTAATTTCGCCAAGGGCATGTTGAAACATATTGAAGCGTATATAAAAAATGATCTCCGCACTCTCCAAAGGTGTAGATTCAAGTAGGAGGTCTGGAACCCATGATGCCATGGTGCAGCTGGAGCCTTGCCCATTTGAAGTCCTGGGCATCAAGGTGGCCTGCCATGACCCAACAAGCCATGCATAGGATGATTAGGATGCATCATCTTCCACCATTTTCCTGGCCAGGACTTTGATGCACCCACCTCGGCCATTGAGAGTGCTTTCCGGAAGCGGAGTTTGGACTGCCATCCGGACCGGGGTGCTTTGAATGCGGTGGTTTTGGTGAAAGGTGCTGACATGAGCAAATACAGATTGAAGATGGTTGAAGTGTTTCCGCCAGTGTGGGAAGTCTGCTCTAGGACAAGAAGCCTGGGGATCCCACTGCGAAGGCTCAATTTGAGGCAGAAGCCAGTGGCTGCACTTTTTGTTAGTTGTTCGCTGGTAGGTCCGACACACACAGACACACACACACACACACATTTGCACAAATTTGGAGATTCATCTTATGCGGGTCCTTTGTATGCCTTTGTGACATTCCAATGGCACGCGCAACATCATCAGAAGCTTTGTCCTTCGTTTGTTCCATTTTTTGGCGAACACCTTGCTGCTGACCTTGCCAAGTCTCAAGCGTTGCGTTTGTGCGGCAGGCTCTTGTGGCGGCCAAGGCGTTCTGCTTTCATGTCTTCGCACAGTTTACTATTGCGCATTCCATCATGCCCCATGATGTTCCATTATGTTTCACCACTTTCAGCTGAGTATTTTTCTGTGTGCAATGTGCCCTGTCCGAGTCTGATTCTTGTGTCACTGTATGTCACTGTCCCATTCTGCCCAGGAGGCGCTTCTGGATCCAGTGCAGCGAGCAGCGGCGCAGAGTGCAGCGAGCACCTCATTCAAGGCACCTAAGGCTGGGACTGCCACCATGGATTGCACTGCTTGGACCCCTACATATGACTTATGTCAAAAGCATTCAAAAGCCATAGTAATGTTATGTAGTGTTCCTCACCATGTGTTGTAGGAAATTACTGAGTGGAAGAAAGGGACTCCGCTGCACATGATTTTTGGCTCAAGATCCATTGATAGCCACTGCTGGTATTCTTCTCCTTTGCTATGCTATTGTTCCCGCAAAGACTCCTCTATTCGATCTGTTATTCATCCTCATCTGCGCATGTCTTGCCTCAGAACCACATTTGCGGAGCATTTGCCAGGGACCTTTCGCAAGATTTGCTCAATGCAGAGCTGCAGTGCGGAAGAAAACAGGCACACTTAAAAGTGGCTGCGACCATACAGGTGATGAGTGGTAAGCATGTCTGCACACAAGTCACACAAGCCAAGGAATCAGAAGTAGGTGATCGTATACGGTATTTGATTGAAGTGCTGAGCATCAACCAAGAAAGCCACACACAAGTATGAATAAATGCACCTAAAATTGAACAAGCATGTATACATTGTATACATGTAGGTGTACGTATATGCAAATATGAACGCCTATATGGGCATGTTCCGCCAGCTTGTGAGGTGCGACGCCTGCAAAGGCCCAAGCTGCCACAGTGCAGCCACCCCGCGCGCAGGCAAGCCCATCGCTTCACATCCAATACCTGTGAGTTGTGACTCTGTTGATCTCGGCAGGAGAAGCCTCAAGCCCCAGGAATTGATCCTGAGAATCTGTTCTGCATTGATGTGGCTCACAAGCGTTTCTGATCCTTCATGATTTTCATGCATGTCGCATGTGCATTACATGTGAAGTGAATTGTTTGGCAAAGGAAAGTTGCGGCTGGAATTTTCTTCCGGCATTTGGAGAGGGAGCGTGAGAAGAAGGCCCTCTTAATCCATCTTATTCCCATGGGTGCATGGCTATCTCATGCTATACCCATAACAATCAAAGGCTGCTGTCCGTGTCATGTGCCTTCCGTCAGGAAGGTCCGCGGGAATACCTTCTTCCACGAGTGCGCTTTTCAAGATCGACAGAGGCTCGTATGACCTGACCGTTTCCAAATTGTTTGGAATGGTGGTCCAATCCCATTCAAAAAGTGCATTGCGACTTTGCGACCTTGCGATGTTTTGGGAGGAAGCTCCACACCTCAAGCCCTCGGCTGAGACAAGGCAAAGAAGATGAAAGAAATTGAAAGAAGATCAAAGAAGACAATGACCAAACTTGGGCACCAAGAGGATTTTCAGATGTTTTCAGCCATGACTGAGCCATGACGGTTGGGATGCGAAGGAGAGTTCTCAAACCTGGCCGCCACTCTGGAGTCAAAGATGGTGCTGGAGTGTTCGGAAAAGTCCATCGGAGTCCATCAACAACGATGTCACTTCACGATCTTCACGATCATCACGATATTTCACGAGTTTCAATATGTTTCAATCAACTCAAGCGCACAACTCTTCACACTTTTGACGCATTCTTTTCAATGTGCGAGCGACTCTGACTGAAGCATGCTGTTGAGAATGTTGAGATGCAGGTCAAAAAGATCTCGGAAATAAGTCAGAACACTTCAAGCCAGCCTTCATGGGTTGGAGGCTGCCATACTGTGCAGATCCCAATGCCACCGTGAGGTAGTACATGGTAGTACTGCAGTGGTCGCCCAAATTTTGCAGGTGTGATTTGCAGAGCTGACTCCAGCTGGACTGAACCGATCAATTTCACAAGTCTGGCTCTGGCAGGTGAAGTGCCACGCGCACGAAATGTACAGACTCACAGGACAAATCCTTTAGAGAAAGACAAGGGGGAAGGGGCTCCTACGGAAGGATTTGCCTTCGCCGCAGCCTTAGCAACCTCAGCGCTTGGTTGACTGTCAAAAGGTCCATCCTTGGATGTTTCTTTTCATTTTGTGGCCAAGGAGAGACAGGCACCAAGAAGGCTTGACTTGGAACACGATGATCATGCTGACCTCGATCATGATGGGCTCGAAGAAAGAGATACGAAGGAGAGCAGTGATCCTTGCCCTCCTTTGCCGCTCCTATTGCCTTGGACAGATCATGTGATGCTGGTATCGGCCATTGTGAAAGTCACTAAAGCTAAGAAGCCGGAAGCTCACATCCTGGCGCGGGTGGTTGAGATTCTTCGTGAGAGAGGAGGACAAGCACCACTTGCAGTCCTGACTCGGAACCCAATGCGTTTGCAGAGCGTTCTTTCTCATCATGCTCGGCTGCTGGAAGTGTGACTTGACATCATGGTCTCCATGGCTGTAAACGGTGCAGTGAGTGCAGTGACTTTAGCGATATGACTGATATGATGACTGTCCGGTTGAATGAGGTACCTGCCTGGCAAGTACTTGGCTGGAACAGGTTTGCAGGTGCGGATGGTCCTTGAAATGAAAGGAATGTCACAGTTGGTCACATCAAATGATTTCGGTGAGGACCTGCCATGCATCGCCATGCATCGCCATGCATCGCCTTGCGAATCACATGCATCGGCATGCTTCCCAGGTACACGTGCGCCTGCGTGGCGCAGAGTTTCAGCGGGCCGCTGAACGTTTCAAGCAAAATCGTGCGGCCCAGGCCAGCGGTAGGTCCCCCTAGGCATGTCGCTTCTGTTTTCTTCCTGTGTAGGCCGCACACTCTTGATATCTCTTGATTTCACTTGCGCTTGTTACTTTGAATCATTGTAGATGGATGTAGGCAGTAGAACTAGGAATGGCTTCGCATTGCTTCGCGACTTTGAGAAACAGTGTTCCTGTGGAGCCAAGCGGTTTTTGCATGTCACGAAGACCGTCCAGATTTCCAGCTTGTTCAGGTCAAAGCGCAAGCCAAAGCAGAAATGCACGGCAAAGCCAAGGCGGGAGTTAGCTATGTCTTTGAAGTATTTTAATGTGGCTTCGGATGCTCAAACTCCAGTCGTTGACCTTCCACCTTCCCAGGGCGGCCTTGCAGTCTCCCCATTTTCAGCGGTTTTCTCCTAGTTCCACCGTGTTCCACCCATGGTCGAGATATGTCGAGATGTTTTGGCAGGCAAGGAATTCAGGCCAAGTCCACGGAACTGTGCTGCCAAGATCCTTGGCACAAAGTTTGGAATCGATGCATTTAATTTATTTAATCATGTTACCGAACATCATTCATATAATGTGTATTACAATATAATGGAAGGATATATGAACTTATTACATATGTGCTTCTACTATCTTGTCGCTCTTTGCATGCCCATTGCAAAGCATCCTTTTGGCTTTTTTGGCAAGACACTGGGACCTCTTTGTCAGATCCTTAGGACGCACCAAAGTGACTGCGCGAGTCAAACCCAGAAGACCTAGCAGGACCGAGACAGTCAAAGTGCGCGGGAGAGAGGTTATTTTGGCACAAGAGAACCTGCACTCAGCGCAAAGGATATGAAAGGTGTGAAGAAGCAACGAACCTGAATTTGTACATATTTCATGTTTCATTACAGAGTGCCATGGCTGCTACTGCAATTCATCCCTTTTGGGTACTTTTTGGCAAAACACATCCAGGCGTCGACAGCAAGTCTGCGAGACAGTGCATGTGGAGCCTTGCCAAACAAAGCTCGCTTGCTGTGCAAAGGTGACAAGGTTGACTTGATTTCCTCAGCCTCTAGACTCTAGAGTGGCATCAGTGGCCCCAGCGTTGACTATTTGAGACTTTGTCCAAGGATTCATCGGATGAGAGTTGTTGTGAAGTCGCCTCCACGCAGCGCAAGAGGCAAAGGACGTTAGAAGCCAATTCCGAAGCGAAGGGAAGACATGGCGGACAAGCTGCTCATCAAGCTGGTACGGAAGAACCCCTTTCAGGCGAAGCAGAGACAGGCGAAACGCCTGACATCGACGTCGAGGTTTTGCCAGAGGATCGCACAGCACGCCCAGATGGCTGCTCGGCTTCTCCTGCCTTCAGGTTTTTGGGAAGTTTTGAGAGCAATCCCCCTGTGCAAATTCAAAGGTGTGCAATCAATTTCATTGTGCTGGACAGCCGAGGTCATCAGGACAGTGGCGCTAGCAAAGCTTCGGATCAGGAGAACGATCGATTGCTTCATCGCGCCTACGCACATGCAGTTGGAAGGTGGCAGGCAGGGCATGGACCTATCTTTTTGAGTTCCAGCTTCAAAGATCTTCAAAGTTTTTGTGAACAACCATCGTGTTCACGCGTTTGATTCCCATTAGTTTGAACTTGGATGAACTTATACAATCTTATGCGCTCCCATTGAAAGTAGGGCTTGGATCTTGGTTGTTCAGTGGAACTTCAGGCCTCGCGGCCTGGCAAAGGACAGCTTCGTCTCTTAACCCGCAGATAGAGCAGTGCCATGGCAGCGCAGCGCGGTCAGCTGTGAAGTCTTAGGCTATTTCCTCCTCCTGCCAGCGGGGAATTTGGGCGCCTTGCGGCCCCAACCTTCTGCCATACTCTTCTCCTTCGATCCAGCTTCAAAGGCGTTCCAAAAAATTGATGTCGGATGTGCGAGAGGGCAGACTACCTGAACTACTCGTAGTATCGTATCACATTAGATGTGTGATTTTTGGATGCTAATGGTACTTGATGCTTCAGGTACTCTATGAGTACGTACCTGGACATGGTGAGAGTCACCTGCTGAGCTGGATTCAGTCGTCAATGTTATCATTGCAGGAGAGATGATGTTGGGTGCAATTTTGAGCCCACCCTCCCAACGGCTTTACCTTGAGGCGAAGGCCGTTGCGTTGCGATGTGGTCACCTTATTGTCCAGAAGTGTCGCATGGTTCAAGTCTGGCTGGGTACTTCTGAGTACTAGTGATATTGGGCAGAACCCGTATCATGCTTGGGCCTGGTTGCAGTAGGGCGGCCAAGCAGGATTGCAGGGTTCAAAATTATTTGCCCTCCGGAATCAAGGTATCAAATTTGGACCCCTTTGTCAATCGGGACCACTACTTTCTACACTCTAAGTCAGGACATAATAGCGGCATGACCAAACCGTTTATTTTGAGAAATGTGTGAACCGCCTCTAGCTTTGGGGTTGCAGTTGTCACATTCCAAGAGAAATCAGAGGAATCATCGGTGCGAAGGTTCACCTGTGGAGCGGGGCCCTTGGGGACCTGCCAAGGAATGCCCTGCTATGGACGGTGCTTCCTTTGCCGCCGGAGCCATCCAGTGAGGCCGGCATAAGGATCATACTAGGAAAGTAAAGTACCACATATATCCAATATATATATACACTGTATATATAATTATATACACATATAATTATATATATAATTATATATATATAGACAGTATAGAATATGTCGTTTATCTAATAGACAATATATATATATATATCTATATCTATATATATATATCTATATCTATATATATATATATCTATATCAAATACATATTGATATGAGATGTTGATAGACTCCATAGACCATAGTTATCTAGGACAGCAGAGAGAGCAACGTTGCCGCAGGACGCTCCTGGCACCCCTCCTGGTACACCCCCAGCAGAAATACAGGAAGAAGATGAGGCACATGAGGCAAGGGCATCCAAGGACGATCCAATTTGACTCGATTCTATATCACTCGGTGATCTGCGTTTGTCGCAAAATAGAGCGCCATCTAAATTTGATGGTGTATCACCATTTTTCCAATTTATTCCCTACCAAGTGACCATTTTGATCCATTTTGACACATTTTCTAGGCATATCAGCTGGAGCCATGAAGCATAGACAGCTCATTAAAGGCGCGGTCAGGTGAGCAGCGAGGGAGAGGGAAAGGACGACTTGGAGAGCTCCATGCAGCTGATCGACTCTTGGCGGCCCATGCTGACAGTCAGTTACTATACTACTGTAACCCCCAAAAAGATAGGAAAAAAAACGAATTTACCACTTTGATACTGGGTTTTTGTTTACCTTTCCTCTTTTTTCGGGATTTGCTACACCATGAAGTTGCCAAGCTATTGCGAAATCGCTTCAAACTGGCCTTTGAGGATGCTTTAATTCGTGATGCAGCTGCAGAAGCTGGAGTTGCTCTTGACGAAGCTTCATGATATCCTTGCAAAAGAAGCAGACGCCCAAACCAGATCCTGCAGTCTGGACCTGTCGACTTGGGTTGCACAGAAGTCGCCCTGCGGGCTTTCAGATTCAGTAGGTTAGCATAGGTTAGCAACAACTGCACGCGCATACGAAGACAAGAAAATGCTTGGAGTGCAAGAAACCTTCCAGCTGGCTGTCTTGGATCGAACCTCCTGAAATGTGGAGAGAGATCCTGAATGATTATTCGGTCATGTTCCAAGTTTCACTTTGATTTCCTTTGTCTGGACTCCAGCTCCGGCCATCAAAAAAGGGATGGGGCTGGGCTGGTAATGGGCGATAAGGGTCAGATGTTACGCTTCATAGTGTAGCTGCCTGGGATCTCTGCAGTCCGAAGCTCGTTCGAGGCTTTGGCAGCTGAGAAGAGGCACCGATTCTGGTTTGTTACGAGAAGCTGCCAGAACTTGAGAGAGAGGGAGAGACAACCAATGCTTCGTCATGACTTTTTTGTACTTGAATGCTGGACAATTCAACTTCTACATCAGGCCAAAGAAGTTGCATTCAGCTACTGAGTACAGCTACTGAATGTGCCTGTGCTTTCAGAGTTTTTTTTTTGTATTTTCATACCTTTTCAGGAGGACTATGGAGATGCTTGCTTCCCAGTTCGCCTGAAATTGATGTCGAGTAATAGAACAGCAGGCACTTTTTTGGACGCTGGACGTAAAGTTTCGATCCCTGGCTTGGTTTTGTTGGCCACCTCTCGCCCATCCAACTATGCCGTTTCAGACTTCACCAGAGGCACAAGACACCCCCAGCACTTTTGGTGCTGAGGCCTCCAACCTTCTCTGTTGTTGGTGGTCCTCCATCACCAGTGCCAGAAGAGCCGGTCAGAAGCGCCAGTCAAGACATGTGCCGAGACAACTGGTTGAGCTGCATCAACCCTTGATTAACGATTATGATTAAACATGATTAATTAATATTAATTAGATCATATGAAACCCTGATTGGTTGTGGTACCTTGGGGGTGGCGCACTTTGATGTCCATGATTGCATGCGCTGCATGCCCAGGCTGAGAAGGAGAAGGAGACGCACGAGTCGTTTCTGTCATGGTGGATCCCGGGCTGTGTGCACCTGAGCCTATCTGATCCTGAAAGGTCCAACAAGGTCCAACGGACACAGCCTAGAGCAACATTGCACGCCCGGGGTGAAGGTTTTGCGTTTCCATCTGATCCCTTTGCACTAAGGCGGGGTGTGCGCACCTGCCCAAAAGGCACCACGGCTTCCTTGTGCTCCTTGTGCTGAGGCGAGTTTGCACGTTTTAAAATTTTAAAACATACTGAAGCGCTATCAAACGTGAGTCATCCGCTGCTATTATCTGCTATTTACGCCAGCCAGACCTTTGAAAATGTACGTTGAGCCTGTGCAGGGACGCGGGGAAATTCTTGACTGTGGCCCACTGACCCCGGCAGCTGCAGCAGCTGAAGCTCTGGATGAGCATGCGTTTGAGGAGTACGGCATGCAGGTGCAATGGCCTGCAATAGCTGCCTCCATAGTGAAGATTTCAAGGTCATAGACCACATAGATGCCATGGATTTCGAGCTTTCCCGTACTGTCTTTGATGACCTTTGATGCAGGTCCAAGATGAACTCTCACAGGAGCCTGGAGCTAAGTTGCAGACAGGTGCAACATAAAGCTCATTATAAAGCTCATTTTAGTACATTTCACAGAGATGTGGTGCTGTGCCGATGAAAGCTTGACATTGCTTGACGTCCAAGGTTGGAGGGATTGATGCGTTTGTGCTCGAGGTGGACCGCAGGGAGTGCCTCCGGTAGTGAAGCAGTCCCTTGGATGTGCAGACACTGCATTCCAGATGATAAGCATTACATATCATTGCATGACATGGTCATACCCGAAAGTCGGATTTCAGTTTCGATCGCAGTTTCGTCCTAGGACGACTCATGCATCCATGGAACACTGACATGTGCTTGTAATTGCTTTTGACTGTTTTTATGTCTTGATAGGGCGGAAAAAGCCGAGGCCTTGGACATGACGGTACCACCAGCGCTGCAGGCGGAACTCAGGCCCATGCACTGACTTTGTGGCGATGAATGTTATAAGTTATTAAGTTATAACAAATACTATAGGCAAACATGTCTGTATATATATATATACTTATTTATTTTCATACCAGTAAACAAATAACACATTACGAAGTAAATTGATTAAATATACAATCAAATGCATAACTACATATTTATATAAATGACAGCTGCTCTCCTAAGATGGCGATGGAGAGAGAGATATTTAAATGACTAATATAGCATTGTATAATGCACAATCATAATCTATTACAATGTGATATGATATAGTATAACCTAACATCACAGAACACAACACAACATAACACAACATAACACAACATAACACAACATAACACAACATAACACAACATAACACAACATAACATGTCATAACAGTATATGTTATATTATAAATCGCATAAGCTTGCCATGGTTGAGCCGGGAGAAGTCAAACTCCATGGGAGCTCTGGCTTCCAGGTCTACCAGCCGACCGCGTCGCTCATCATCTCGGGAGTCGGACGAGAGCAGAGAGAGGTGGCGGTTATACCCGCTGCTTATGGGTGGATGGGGAGGGACCAATACCCATTAATTCTTATCGTAACTTGTCACAGTATATCGATATACACATATGTCATGTATATATTTATATGTATGTATATATATATTTATATGTATGTATATATTTATATGTATGTATATATATATTTATATGTATGTATATATATGTATGTATATAATCATATATATATATATTAATATATATATATATGGCTATGGCAAACTGTATATATATATGTATAAATATCCTATGTTATTTCATGATGTCCCATTATATGCTATGATTGAATTATACTTTTTTTGGGATGAATCCGCATTTGCCAGCAAAGCAGCTTTTCAATAGGGGTACAGGTTTTTGACACGCAGCCATATGTTGCCATTTTCCATGAGCAACCTTTCATTCTCCAAGACTGACACATATTCATTCAGTCTCTTCCGATGTGGAGGGTGGGCAGCACTACGTTGAACTTGCCAGAGCCACGACTAGAGCGTCCGGCACGCCCATCAGAAAGGCTGGTTCTCAGCCTGCAGCCAGATTTTAAATTTTTGCAGCTCCCCTGCCATGCACTCTGTCTGACATGATGGCCTCGCGCCCTGAGATTTGCACCTGTTTTTGCAATATCAGGAGGCCAATGCTGCACGTTGGCACCTCCTTCTCAAGGGACCCTGACCAGGCAAGGAACTGACAAGGAGCTGCAAGTAGCTGCATAAAGCTTGATCCGTCGTGCACGTTACCATCATTCCCGAAGCAGGTTGGTCGCAACCGTGTCGTCACCTCAGTCATCCTCAGTCCAAGTGGGCTGGAGCTGGCAGCTGGGGACTTTGTGCAACCGAGGCTGGCACTGCAACATCCATTCGCCAAAGAAGGCCGTGGCAGTATTGGCAGCATATGTTCATTATGTTCATTGTGATTCGTGTGTTCTGCGTGTTCTAGTTATCATTGCGTGTCATTGCCATCCATTGCTACTTGCCCATGGGTCTCAACAAATCAGTGACACGTCAAGACTCAGCAAGACTCATCAGGCAGCACCGACTTCTGGGACCCAAAAAGGGCCTTGCTGCTGAGCGCTCAATCGATAGAACAGAAATTCAGCGCCGTTTCGGTGGTATTGCAAGAGCCATGCAATCCGCCACTTGATGGCAGTATTGTCAGTTGATTGGACAGCTTGAAATGGTTGAGGTTCATTTTGGACACGAGAACTGGAACATGGCCTGTCCCTTACATTCCTGCAACTCGCCAGGGCCCTTTGTGCCTGGACCTTCACACATACCTAGAATATCCTAGAATTTGAGCACAATTGAACTTTGCAACTTAAGTCGAGTTGCTACCAGAATGCAATCTTTTCAGAAAACGAATGGAAATCACCAGAAAGCACTTCTCTGGATGGCTGGGCGAGCTCCTCTCCTTTCGCGCAGGATTTGGAGTGTGAAAAGCATGCAAGAGTGCAAACACGTGCAAAACGCATTCACAAATCAAAAAGGTGCAAGCTCGTTCCATTTGAGGGTGGTGCGCGCATGAATTTGCACATCTTGGAACGCAAACATCCTAAAAGTTACAGCTCGTGCCGAAATTTTATCTATACGTATACATATCTGAAATTTCACCTACCCCAATAATGTGCTACAGGTGTTCTTGGAACGGTGTTGACCGACCTCCCAATGTCAGTTGTTCAGGTGTTGAGCATGATGATCGGAATCCGAATGGCCGTTGGACGATCAGAGCGCCTTGGCAAGAGAGATGTTCTTGGCGAAACACCGGATTTCAGTGAAAGGAAACAAGGTGAAACAAGTACATTGACCTTCCCACAGCCTAAAGGTGCGCTGTGCATACGATCAATATGTCCGCATTATATGTCCTGTATGTCTCGGAATATCTTGGGATGCAGCTGCATGATCGTCGGGCCATGGTGATGGCTTGCCGGACTAGGAATGAGATGAAGCGAGAATTGCAACCAGTAGACTTTATCATGAAGGACCCTCATTCTGGGTTCCGCACTTTGAAGATTTGGACCTGGATGCGACCAACACAATGTCCTTGCAAGTGTCAGTCCAAATGGCTTCCTCTTGCCACAGCCTGGAACACGTATGCCATTTGGTTCAAGACAAGGGGCATCAAGGGGCCAATACACATGATACATGACCTCAAGACAGGTCCCTCGCATGCTGAACTTCTGCAAGATCAATAGCCCGAGCATCTCTACCAGCCTCTCGCCGCAGGCGACACCAACAAAGCAGAAACCCGTTATTCAAGAAAGCAGATCCCGAGATCCAACATGTCCCGGGTTGTGGCTTGAACTTGGCCGACTTCCCTTAGTGGCTTCTTGGTGCCATATTCTCGTTGGCCTCTGCCACGTTCCAGGCAAGTTGAGCACTGGATGATTGTTGCCGTTGTCAATCCTGCTCATGATGTTTTGTTTGCCCACGACTTGTACAACAGGTGGCCTTGAAGCTCAGCTTGGGCAGCAATGCCGGACCGAGCAGTAGAAATGGTGGCTACCCAGCTACCCTAAGTGGGGCCCAGTAGATCAGTGACATTTCTGACATAGGTACCTCAGTTATAGAAGGCTGGGTGAAGCGCTGCTGGAGCATCACATCCCGTGTTCACCAGGACGAACCCTTTGATCCATGGGCCTCTGCCGCTGCAGATGGGACGTCTGCTGCAGTCATGAAATCTGCGAAGAAGAAGCTGCTTGGCAGTGGCCGCAGGTTTGATTTGCCCCGCACCTTTAAGTGTAACAGCTCGTGATCAGAGCATCTGGGCGGGCATTCAATATTCCTCAGCAGGCAGAAGCCTGAAGATATTTGCATGAATGTGAGCTCGTGGGTAAAGTTGGAGACCTCGTGTAGTATATCTGGTGCGGCAAGATGTTGGGTGGAACGCATCTCTAAGTCTCTAATCTCTAGCACCATCTGCACGCTAAGGGATGCCTGGGGCAGCTTTAGAGCAGGGGAAGCAGAAGCGCTTTCCGACTCGGATGCAGCAAAACCAAAACAAGGCTCGTTCAATCTGCAGTTCAATCCTGTTTCTGTGGATAGAATTATTGGGCCTGCCCTGATCACCTGATCTACGACTTGCACCTTTGTGTGATTTTCTCGGTTCAGATAGCTTCAGTTCTGTTTACCATACATCCCCTGGACAGCATCGGCAATCGTCAATGTTCTCGCCAGAGGAAAGAAAAAGAAAGGTGGCGATAGCAAGAAGGTGCGAGATGCAATCCTTCATTTGTGCAATATGCTTACTCTCACGCGGCGATGATGCGGTGATATGTTTCTGATGTATCCTCATGCCACTTGATTCTGTTTGATTCAACCTGCATCAACCCTGCAGCCTGCTGGGCCATCCGGACCGAACCTGGCAAGAAAGCGCTGCTTGGCAGCAAGAACAGGGCGGCCAGATGCAGCACTTTGCCGCTGGAGGTGCATATTTCTTAACATATTCCTTTCTCTGCAATCTGACTGAGGTGTAACTGATTCCAAAGTCAGTGGAGTTGTTGAGTCATGGACAAACTCCTATGGTTGCTTGGCATCAGATCCTTTCAATGCCTCCACTCGAACATTGTTTTGGAGATTTCCATGTCAAAAACAGGGCTTTTCAGGTAATCTGACAGAGTCTTACAGAATCTGACGGGACTGAGACTGACCAAATGGATTGAGTCTATCCTCTGGCAGCATTTTGCGTCAGGCTGGATTCGGCCTTTTCAGCGTGTGAACCATCCGAAGGCCGGCAAGCACGGAGGCTGGTGGCATTCTGCAGAACGCCGTGCAATGCGAGGAGCTTCTTGGTGCCGTCAACTGGAACGACCCAACCCCTGCACAGGAAAAATCTACATCCATGGCAAAGATGTCAAGGGTGGTCTTGGGCAACTGGCCAGCACTGGAATCCAGTCCTTGAGCTCACAACTCTCTTCTTGCATGTTCATGCTGAGGTTAAGATTCGTCATAGATGTTGTCACTACATCCTTCATCTTTCGGAAAATAGCACGAAAACTCGCATTAACGGTGCCTCTTTTTTATACACTTATAATCATTTATTTATATATATATAGTTATCACTTACTTATTTATAGTTAATGTATGTAATGTATTGTAATGTAATGTAACGTAAGGTAAGGTAATGCAATGCAAATGTAATGTATTGTATTGGTACTTGTACTTGTACCTATACTTGTAAATGTACTGTAATGTATGTTTGTATGGATGCATGCGTTTAGGACAGATGGACAGATGGACAGATGGACAGATAGACAGAAAGACAGAAAGACAGACAGGCAGACAGACAGAGAGAGAGAGATAGATAGATAGGTAGATCGATAGATAGATAAAAGGATAGATAGATAGATAAAAGGATAGATAGATAAAAGGATAGATAGATAAAAGGATAGATAGGTAAAAGGATGGATCGATAAAAGGATAGATAGATACAAGGATAGATAGATGAATGGAAACATAGATAAAAGGATGGATAGATAGATAGATAGATAGATAGATAAATAGCTAGATAGATAGATAGACAGATAATATTAATAAGGATAGATAGATACAAGGATAGATAGATAAAAGGATAGATTCATAGATAGATGGATGGATGGATGGATGGATGGATGGATAGATAGATAGATAGATAGATAAACATATAGACGGTAAAGACAGAGAGGGATGGAGAGAGAGAGAAAGAACGAAAAGGAGCGAGCGAGAGAGAGAGAGAGAGAGAGAGAGATGTAGCGAGAGACACAGAGAGAAGGAAACAGAGAGAGATAGAGAGAGGGAGACTCACAACCTTAACTACCTTTCGGTCCATCAGTGGGTGGGCTCCGCCATCCATGCATCACAACAAGTCACCTTTCCCCTATATGTTCCGTGTTCCCTATCCTAGAAACTTCCGCCACCGCCTTGTGCGGTCCTACTTGCATACATATATATATATATAATTATGACTATATATATATACTATATACATAGCGACACCTACACATAAATAGTGTATATGTACAATGTTTGTGTGTAGATTTTATGTAACAGATGTAAGTGCCGTTGTTGCACAGCGGATCACCAATGTCAAAATATGTCAAGATGGTTCTGAGGTTTCTGCCAGTGGGTGCTCCGGTGGAGTTCTACGTCTTCGAAGACGATGCAGGTCTAGGAGCAGAAGAATGCTCGACAGACGGGTGTCCTGCCGGCAACTGGGGAGAACTGGGAGAACTTGAATCAATTCGCAAGGGTTGCAGACATGATCACTTGGAAAACTGTTGCAAATTGTGCCCACCAGTTTCTTTGAAGGGAAACATCTGCAGAAAAGGAATCTCTTGTCCTTCGGATTCCTTCAGATTTTGCTCGTTGCAACTAAGGAAGGGCAAAGGTGGCAAGGGCTGGGGGTGGGATTCCAAAGGCTGGGACATGGGCAAAGGCTGGGACATGGGCAAAGGTTGGGATATGGGATCTTGGGACATGGGAAAGGGTTGGGATATGGGAAAAGGCTGGGGTGGAAAGGGTGGCTGGGATGGTGGCAAGAAAGGATGGGACTCTGGCAAAGGACTGCTTGCAGCTGCACAGCTTCTGACAAAAAATGCACCTGTCATAAACAGCTCATGAGGTCAAGTAATGTCGGTAATAATATTAATCATAGTTACAATGATTCAAATTCCGCTTGAGGTTTCGATTGTGTTTCTCAGTGCGCAGCAAGTTGATTTCTCGGACGGCTTTGAGCAAGGAGGGAAGGGAAAAGGCCTTCCAAAGGGAAAAGCTGAGCTTCTTGGCATTCCATGAATCAGAGACCGATGAGACCGGGAATATGGAGCAAACTGGAGCAAACCAGCAAACGCAAAAGGTATGAAAAGGTCCCTAGTCCTAGCACTGTGACGCCAAGGTCCAGTGGCAAGGATCGAAAAGGACCCCTTGGTACTTGGGTGAATGCGCGCATCATGTCAAGTTAGGACAATGCGATAACTTTCACAGGACCCAAAGGTGATAGAAAAGGAGAAGGCAAAGGTGTCTTGGCCGCAACAAGTGTTCCATTGCCTGCTAGAGTTTCAGACTCCATGAATCTCACCTCCAAAACAAGCAGAGCATAGCAGAGGAAGGAATCCAAGCTGTGGCAATTTATGGCTATGTGACCATATATTACCATCTGGCTCCAATGGCATCCAATGGCACATCAACTCACCAAGCAAAAGAGTCAAACGCTGCTTTCGCAGCAGCATTTGGGTGGAGACAGCTAAAGTTTCAGCAGTTTGCATTTCCCACTACCCTTCCAAAGTTTCTTCTTCCGTTCCAATCATGTCCAATCTTGCTCTCGCTTGTTCAGCCTTCCGCAGACTTCTTATTTGCACACACATCAATAGGTCCTCTCCCTTTGCTAGGATTGTATTCAACATGTCCCAGTCAAAGCTTCTGATAGCCCGTAGACTGCGTGGGAAATGCCACTTGGCGTGCTAACTTTGGATCAGCTGTTGCTAGGTTCAAGCTACAGTGATGCGAAAGAAGGTGCTGACCGGAGTTGGCTATGCATATGCAGATGGCTGATGGATGGGTCCGGTTTCATATTCCTTGCAGTTCGTGTCCCTTTCCTAGGCGCATCAGAGATTCCGGAGGCGTGCGACAATGTGTTTGCAGTCAACATCTCGACATAAGCTCCTTCCATCCCCTTGCCGTGTCTCTACACGTCTGTCCAAGCAGGTGCGGACTGATTGGTCGGGCTACACCGGTGTTTTGTCTGGGTCAAGCCAAGGCGCTGCGCGGTTTTAGAGCGGTCTTTTGGGAAACACCTCTTGCCAGTTGCTACGAGTTGCTATGAATCCGTCCCATTGTCACCAGGCTTTGCCAGTGCAAAGGGCTCCCAGGCGGAAATTCATCTTCAGTAGCAACATTTTTGCAACATTTCGATTCCTTGGTGTATTGTGCTGAAACCTTTTGAGCGACTTTCCTGTCTTTTTGGGCTCAAACAGACTCAAACAGGTTTGAAAATTATTCGCTTGCTGCGTGCTGTGGGCTTCCGCTATGGCTGTTCGCTGGGGGATCTTAGGATGTGCCGGCATCGCCGAGAAGTTTTGTGCCTCAGTAAGCCGTGCAGACAATGCAGAAGTGGCTGCAGTAGGATCCAGATCCATGGAAAAAGCCGAGCAGTTCATCGCAGAAAACTGCCCTGGAGCCAAAGCCTATGGTTCCTACCAGGATCTGCATCGGTTTCCCATTTTCCTTTGCCTTGCAAATGTTATGGAAACTTTCCCCTTCTGTGGACTGGTCCTTTAGTGTTGTAGGATTATGCATGCCTTCCGGGTCTTCGTGTTGTATTTGGGATAAACAATCGCCAGCTCAACACAGAGGGTTCTAGGCTTGTACCATGCCCCACCAGGAGCTGCTGACCGATGCCTCCATCCAAGCTGTGTATATTCCGGTCCCTACGACGCTCAAAACCGACTTAGCTTTAGAAGCGATTTCGGCCAAGAAGCACATCCTCATCGAGAAGCCCTTGATTAATGTGACGGACACCCAAAAAATGATCGACGCGTGCAAGTCGCAGGGTGTCCAATTTATGGACAACACGATGTTTGTTCACAATGCCCGACAGCTTGCCATGCGAAAAATCTTGGATGACTCTGAAAGGTTTGGAAGGGTCAAGCACGTCCAGTCCACATTTAGCATTGATCTTGGCAATGACGAGAATTGGGCGAAGAACAACATCCGGATGAAAAAGTCCTTGGAACCTTTGGGTTGCCTCGGTGATCTAGGTTGGTACAACATTCGTTTCACACTTTGGGCTTACAACTACGCACTCCCAACTAGTGTATCCTGCCGCTATGTTGAGTGCACTGACGAGGGTGTTCCTACTCACGTGATGGCTCAGATGTGCTTTGAGGGTGGGAGAACTGCCAGTTTCATGTGCTCATTCACAAGCGCCTTCCGGGACAATGCAGAGGTGTTCGGTGAGAAGCTGTCGCTCTCGCTGGAAGACTTTGTAGTAACTTCTGCTTTGGACACGGCACCGTTCAAGGTGGTGAAGACCGGGTTTGGTTCGAAAGCCGAAACATTTCCGGTGGAGTTTAAGGATGAAGAGGTCCAGTGCGGGGTGCAGCACACGGCAGTGGTGGAGGCCTTTTCTAAGACAGTGCTCTCTGGTATTGATGAGACTTGGCCAAGGCAAACTCTTGACACTCAGACTGTTTTAGATGCAATGGTGCTTTCCGCTAGCCATGATGGCGCTTGGCTTCAGGTGACTCGCTGACATCTCTGGGTCTCCTGGCAGCAAGGATTCAAATGAATCATCAGTGCAGGCCGCGCACCATGGTGAAAAGATGAGCGAAGATGCAGTGTATTTGCAAGCAATCCCTGGTAGTCTTTAACCTCTTTAATTAATATAAAGCTTTGCCGAATGGTCACATGATTACGACATGGTGCTGAAGAAGTTATTTACTCATGCGGAGGGGGGTCAGAGCCACAGGAGTTTCAAATAGAAGGTGCTTCTTCAATCAGCAGATTGGGTGAGTTGAAGTTGCAGGTTTGAAGGCAGGGAAGCAAGCTGTTGCTTTTATTTCTGTTGCAGTGTTTGCAGGCGCATGCTGATAATTCTAGTGACTTGGCTTGCAAGGGAAGGATATTTAATATGATTAATATGGCTCCTGGAGTTTTTGACGGCCAATCTTGAGTGCGACTGCACCAAGGACCTGCTGTGACAGGAGCTCCACCTCCACCACCACCTGGTGGTCCCATGCCACCAAAGCAACTTGGTGTCACCATGCAAGTCAATCAAACAGCAGATTTTGCATGATTTTGTTGGGTGTTGACATGGTCAAATCTACAAACCAAAGAGATAAACAAACAGAGGTAACAGAGGTAAAACAGCAAGCAACTCGATGCAACAGCTTCGCATCCTGAACTGTACTGACCAGTTTGGGCTTGCTGAGGCAAGTTGGTGCAACTGGCCCCATGATGCCAGGTTCCGGCCCTAGACGAGTCAGAGCAACCTGGGTGCATCATGGATCATCATGGCTGCCCTAGAGCATTTCATATTCTGAATATCATTTCATCGAGCAACATGTAGCCGTGTGCTTTGCGCTGAAAGGTGGGGCATCTGTACCTGCTGTGTGGCCAGAGGTTGGATGAGCTGCACTGAAAGGGATGAACTCTTGGACTGTGCAGTGCAACCCCTCTGCAGGCGAGACCAGGAGGGCGGTGCCCAGCACCGTTCATGAATTTCGGCGGCAATTGGTTTAGAAGGTTCGACGGGAGCTTCATGGAGCTTCTGGAATATTGAATTCGCTGGCTGCGTGCACCATAGATACGCCGCAGTATACCAAGGATGAGTGGCATTGGCACCACGCCTGTGCCTGCAGCTTGCCAGCAAGACTTACTCAGCTGGCCCCCGGCTAGAGTGGATATTATTATAACACTCCAACATCTATCGTCTTTTCCCACGTGGGCTCCTCTCTGCAGATGTGCCTAAAAGCGGGATGGCACAGAACAAAAGCTCGAGGACAACACGGATGGGCCCTTTCACATGGACCGCATATGCGAAAGAGCCAACATTTGGATACATTTGGTTGAAGCATTGAAAGAAATATGGAACATGTAGCAAAACAGACCGCCCTAGACAGTGGTGGGAGGTAGAAACTAAGTCAATTTGGTGTGCAAAAACCTTTCGGGCTCGGCAGCTTGACGAAGCCAGGCCTCTTTCTTGACCAAAAACATCCAAAAGGCAACTTAGTATAAGCAAACTCCTTGACATTTATTTTGGCACACTCGCTTGCCTGTGCGGACAGCTGTGGCTAGAATGCCTTTTGTGTGAAAGGCGGGTGTGTGTGTTGTGTGTGTGTGTGGTTGAAAGTCTGTCGTGGTGAAGGTTCAGTGTCGTGCGCTCAATGTCAGGGTGGTGTAAGCTTTGGTGTGGCTCGCCCGGTCGTCAAGGGTTGGCGCAAATATATCGCGGAAAAAAGGTTTTGCATCCACTCGATGGCTCTCAATGTCCGGAGAAAGCGCTTGTGGAAACCGGCAAGTTTGTGCGTGAAGCATTTTAGTTTAACTGTTACGATTCCTCCATGTACCATACTGGCACTGCAGTAGGGTCTTTTTAAAGAAGTACTCTCACAAACGGCTCTTGCTGCAAAAGCTCCTGATATAGGTTTCGAAGAATAATGGTGCCCGTTGTTCAAAGGGTACCTTTCATACGGCAGAGAGGTTCCATTTGCAAACTGCTTTTGGGCAGACAGTCAAGTCAAAGGCGATTGCATATACTGTCCGCAGAAGCAGTGGAGAATTGCGTGCACACTGCTCCCCTTGTGATCTCATGGGATATACAGAGATTGGATGCTAGGTCTGAAACAACAGGAGTTTCAAGATGTTTGTTTGATATGGGGACCAATTCAAACTGTTTTACATACATCGTACGAATTGCTCATCAGTCCCAGCTCCTAAAGCCCACCACATATTTTTCTCAGGGTATCAACAGTGTTGCGGTGAACCAGATCGCATATCCACAGCAGGGACCTCAGTGACCTATCAGCCGGGGTGTGATGTGGTAAGCCCCTTTGGGGTAACATGACCATATATACCCAAAAAGACAACAAAGAGGCCTACCATCAGCTTACCATTGGCCATCAGTAAATATTTAGAAGCTCCAGCAGTCCAGCAGCATCGCTAAATAAACATCAAAGCTCCAGCAGTGGCTGCTGGACCACCTTACGCGAGGAAGATCTCACTGAGGTATAGCACCATGATGCCGGGCATGAGCCCTCCCATGCCACAGCCTTTGGCCATGAAGCTTGGCACTGAATTATATTATTTTATATTATATTCATTTATCATTGATTGGTTGTCAGATCTTGTCAGTGCTATATGCACTTGTTCTGTTGCTTGCTGCTTGGTGTCATACGTTGTCCCTGCTCCGTGAAGGAATGCTCCGGGTGTCCAGAGCCCAGCCTGTGATCACCACAGCAAATCTTGGTGTGTTCATATGCATTCTTCCACCGTTCAGCACGCAGGCATTGCCTGGCATGTATCCTGGCCATGCCGGATGCCCAGTTTCTGTCATGGGCTGTTCATTGGAACAGAGAAATCAGCAGAGTTGCCGTATGTTGCCGTATTCTCCTGACTTGGCTGTAGACTCCTTCACCTGTTGCGAGGTTCCGCCTAATCCGGTTCACTCTCCTTATCCGGGCTTGGGCGGAGCAGGCAATGCCTCCCCGCCATGAGTTGGAACATGTTGGAACTAGCAATTTGCAGAGCCGGAGTTGGGCAGGCGTCTACGAAGATGCAGGTGCAGGATGGGGAGGATTCAATACTTTGGGCTCAAGCTTAACGCCTAACTGATCTCAGCCTGGTGTTCTTTCTCTCCGTCTCTTTCTCTTTTTTACACTGTTTGTTGAAGCTATGTTGAAGCCTTGTTTCACTGCTGTGTGCTGAAGGTTACCAGAGCCTGGGTTTGCAACTCATGCCCTGCCTCAGGACGCTGGTGAGAAGCAAGAACTGCTTACTGCTCACAGTTCATTTTCCAGCCTGACAGGTGAACAAATATAGATTTTGTTATTTTTGGTCATGTCAGACAGGAAGCTCACCCAAAAAGACTTCGGCTGTCCATAGTCGAGTCATGTCGATTCACCTGGACGTAGCAAAGCCAGGCATGCGATGTAGATTACGATCCGCTAGGTAGGTGGCTCTTTGAAATTCCGGAGGAATCAGCACTGCTGCTTGGCAATCTTTGCAGTGGCGCTCACTAGTCACTGGTCATCAATATTATGTCAATGGACGTCTTCAATCTAATTCAGCTGTTCCTCTTCACTTGTTTTCAGATTCTCTCCGAAGGGCTTGGCGATTGTTCTCTCAAGCCTGTTGATGCGATGTGAATGACGTGAATGCGACTGTGCAAAAAAAGATATGCGCGCCAAATTTGCACATCAGATACGTACTTGCCTACCTTGGCTTCCTTTGAAGGGCTACCGGATCAACTTGATTAAACTTGACCACCTGATAAAGCTTGTATCCGTGTATTTTGATGCATGAAAATGACATAGAGAGCCACTTCTCCCCACTCATATAGTTAATGATCTGATGCTGGGACTTTCAGATCAGCTAGCAGGAGAAGTTCAGCATTCTGCCACGTTTGGCGAACATCTTTGATGCCACCGTGTCCAAGCTGGGGCCACAGTTGCCAGGTCTTGTGAACCTGCCGCAAGTTCAGACACATAGACATTGACTGCCGTTGTAGGCGAGTGTCCGTGACTCGCTTTATTGACTACGCTCCAATGGTCTTCCAGCCGTGGCCTTGGCGCGAGACAAGGGACAGAACCATTTAGTCCAGTTGCTCCATTTGGTCCATTTGGTCAAGTTCAAAGATGGCCTGTCCAATGATTCAATGCCTTGGTCATGGGGCCATTTGGATTCCAACATGTGAAACCTTCACCAAGTGCCCAAGGCGAATACGAGCTTCCTTTGGAATCCTCAACGAAGACTACTTGAGATCGGTGGGACCGGAGCAACTTTTGGGCAACATGGCGCGAAGCTCAGCCTTGCTCTTGGAGGACACAGACTTGTAGAGGCAACCAACGATTGGAGATCATGTACGGACGCTTCACACAATCATGCAGTGCACAAAAATCTATTGTATGATATTGTATGCATGTTCGATGGGCACAACATGTAACACGTATGCGCACTGTACATGCACACATTCATATCAACTATGTCGTATGACCCCAGGTAGATTGCAACCTCAGCAGAGACATCCTGAGGTGCTGGGCAACTTGTCCTCTTTGTCTGAGCTGTCTTCCGAGGGCAAAAGCCCGACCCTCTGTGCAGAAAAGGATCGTCAACTGCATTCAGTCACACAGTTGTGACATGTTGTGCTCCAAACTTACATGTTACATTTACATAGATTACCGGCAAGAAGAGGGGTAGTTCACCATATTCCCCCTTGTGGCTGGGGGAGGTTGGGAGCAACCATGACAAGTCATTCTTTGCTTGGCAATCAGTTCTGGGTTTCATCATGTTTCATCCATCTCGAGGCGGTGCATTTTTCTACTACACTGCTGATGGGACACTTGGCCATTTAAGACACACTTGGTGGTTCTTCAGATCCTGGATCTATCTGGATCTGTATCCCTAGCCTGGAGGAATGATCCAAATTGACCAATATTATTGACGGTGTGGTAGCGCCTGAAAGGATCAGAAGGCCTCTTTAGCGGATGGTGTTCCAATGCCTAAGCATTTCACGGACAATTGGCGATTTTACAAAGGTTTCTGTTTGTTGTTGCCACTCCGCCTACTTTCCGAGGAAATACATGATGAAGACCGTGACGCACAAGGTGGGCTGCGTGCAAGACACACAAGTGCTGGCAAGACGCAACAGCATGATTGCCTCTGTGGCCAAGGAGCAGATACTGCTTAAGAAAATGCTGAAGAACTATCACGAACCTTGGAAACAATCCAGTCACATAGTGGCCGTATCTCGCCATCACGATGTGCTGTTGTGAGCATGATCCGAAAACTTATTTTGGCTTCTGGCACCAGCGTTGCCAAGGACCACATTGTCTCAAATCCGGGCACCCTGCTTGTGCGATTCCTGGGATTGTCTGAGCCTTGGTGAAATGAAGTCGCTCCAAGCACCAGTTTGCATCGCCCACACCTGGGCACTTGAGGCATTGCCTAAGTGTACGCAAGGACAGGAAAGCTGGCAAGGCCTCTACCTGTCTCGCTTTGCATTGCTTCTTTTCGCATAAGGTTCAGTGGAAAAAACAATTCCAAGCAAGAACAGACAGGAGAGTCATGAGAGGACAAATTGCACAAAGAGAGAGAGAGAGAGACACAGAGAGAGAGAGAGATCGATCGATCGATCGATCGATGGATCGATCGATCGATCGATAGATAGATAGATAGATAGGTAGATAGATAGATAGATAGATAGATAGGTAGATAGATAGATAGATATATATATATATATCTATATTATACGCATGTATATATACCGATCAGTGCTTCAATGATTCAGGGACCTGCGGTGCAGAAAGTGTACTTTGTCGTCTGGCCCTGAGTGCTTGATGACTGAAGCATCAGAGCTGAGTGCAAAAAAGACCGGAAAGGACATGGATTTCCCGGTGCTGAGGTAATGAACAACATGTTCAACACGCCCTTTGAAATTCATCGGCGGTATGATCTCAAAGGCCAGTGCCAAGGAGAGTACTACTACGCCGTATACGCCGTCATCGATTTCCAGCCCTTCGCTTTGGCTCATTGCAGGTTCCTGGGTTGGCCGTGTCACAACCGGGGAGTTTGATCCCAGCGTTGCTCTGAAGGACCGGATCATTTCAGTCGCAGGAGCCCTTAATGGATTCTGGGTACTATATAGATATATCAATATCAATATGAACATACATATAAATACAAATAACTAAATAAATGAATAAATAAATAAATGAATAAATAAATAAACGCACACACACACAAATATATATATATATATAAGAGTACCATATAATGGGCCCGGAACGTATAAACAATGAACAACTCAACTGTGCCCCGCAGCTCGACAGGACCTGGACTTCACAAAGGCAAACGAAAAGATTCGTGTGGGTGAGGAGCGCAAAGCAAAACTTGTGGCACAGATCGAGAGGGACAGCCCTGCACCCAGGTGTCATGCGAGCACACTGTCAGAATCTGTCAGACGACACAGACATGATGACACTGGGCACGGTGTTTGCATGCCTTTTCATGCCCCATTTCCAGTTTCCACTCATGTACTTTCCTGGCATTTCCTGGGACTCCTATTGATAAACACCCCAGGTCTTTTCTCTTTGCAATGTCTTGAAGCCTTTTCCTGTGAGGTTCTTTCTTAAAAGAGAACAATGTGATTGACTATTCACTTCTGCTTGGGATCTACCAGACCGGGACCACAGTTTTGCGATGTGCGGACTGTGCAGCCATTCGTGTGACGGTCGTGACCGCCTTGTGACCCCGCGCCTTGCTGTGCCAATGATCATCAATGATCCAAGGCTTGGAAACTCAGGAGAAGATTGCGCAGAGCTAAGTCAGCTAAGTTGCTTTAGAATGTTATATATATATATATATGATTTATAAATCTCTATAATTTGTAATGCTTTGACGTACTTTGACATGCTTTATCTATTGTGATTCCTCGCAGGTGGCTTGAGGGCTTGCAGATGCTTGAGCCATGAACTGTGTCATGCAGTGGTGTCAAGACTAAAATGGTCTAAAATGTCCAGGCGTGGAGGCAAAGGAGATGGTGGTGTGCTCGGTCGCAATTCGCGTGATGCATTTTTTCCTCATGGTTTTACAATGGTTTTCACATGCTTTCAGCCTCTTTTAGCATGATTTTTCAACAAAACGTGAGCTTTTGCACATCCAGATTTGGGATGGATTCCTGTTCAGGCCCTGGAGAAGGTAAAGGCTGGAGGCCGGGCAAGCGGGCAAAGCGGGCAGTTGCAGTTCTCCGGCCAGAGATGGTTCCAATGGTTCCAATGGTCAGGTGACCCGCGAGAAAACTTTCAGCGCGACAGCTCACTGGGGCTGTCAACCCAGATCTCCGATGAACTCCATGGGCCGAATCAGCTCCAAGAGTTCTAAGCAGTTTCAGTTCCAACATGCACCAGGGTACCGACTCAGACACATGACCATGACAGTCCCCTGAATTGAACAGGTCAGAAGGCCAAAAGGAATACACAAAAAGAGCAACTGTCATTGAACAATGTGATTCTGATATATTGTGATGACATAACCTCCTGTAAACTCCCATGAAAGCATTGGTGAAGATGAATGGACACAGTAGGCCCGATACAATTTCTGGAGTGACGTGGGATTTTCCCGAACACTCCAATGCGCCAGGTACAAGGCCCAATAAGTAAAAATGATAGGGCGGATATCACCTGGTCTTGACTGACCCATCGACTATATAGTTTGAGGCTTCAGATATGCATCACCTTTGCATTCTTGCATGAAATCATTGGACCCTACATGGACAAATATTTTGAGATAGGTTGACCCCCAAATCATTTCCCGGCTTCCCCAAAGAACTGGAGCGAAGGGACCAAGCCTGGACCACTTGTGACAGCACGCCCCTCTCTGGAGCTCAGGTTGAAGGGTGCTTCCACAGCAACCACTGGAGAAATCACAGTTTCTTCCTCGGAGTGATGAAGTATCGTGCATGGGCCCAAAGAGCAGGAGAGAGAGCTGGTTCTCTTCCAAGCAAAATTTGACTTGATAAATGCAGAGCTTGGATTCTGATGAGCGATGCTAGGTGAGACTCTCGCCAACAGAAGAGTTTGCTCACCATGAGGTGCACAGAACCCCTGGAAAATACAAACCCAAAGCACAAGTAACTGAATACAACTGACATCACTTGACAATTCACCGCAGCATGCTTTTTGCTGTCTCTTGCCGTCTGCCTGTGCATGGTCGAAATTTCGTTTCCACCTTGCTCAAAGCCTCGCGGGTATTTGATAGGCAAAACATTCATACAAAACGCACACATCAAACACATCACATCAGAGGACAATTTTCAGGTGCTGCAGCCTGTGCACCTCGTTCCTGGCGTTCCTGGCACCCGCTTCTCTCAATTCCATCTTCGTCGCCGCATACCAGCCGCAATGCCCAAACTCGCTGTGCTGAATGAGGCAGAGGAGGAAATCCCTGAAGGGGCCAACTCCGCTGAGGTCGTTGTGGGTATTGCGGATATGATTGGAATTGACATAGTGAATGAGCCTCAATTTCTATGGATTGCAGAGGAGGCTTCGAGAGCCCACATTCCACCAGATTGGAAGGAGCTCACGAACGAGGATGGCGAAGTGCTGTATTACCACACCCAAGAACGCAAGCTACAGAAAGTTCATCCTCTTATCCTGCGATACCAGGAGGTCTATTTCAAAGCCAGAAGCTACACAAAGCAACTTGAAAGTGGTCAGATTGGAAATTTGCTCGAACAGACCGATGCGAAGATGGCTGCCATCACTGCTTCTGTGATGGGCCGAGCATCAAAAGGCTTGCCTCCAGCCACTCCAGAAGTAGTTGAAAGCCTGGCCAGGGTTCTTAGCGTTGACAGCAAGAAGGAGTTTTTTCTTTTCAGGGTCGTGAAGCAGACAATAGAGGCCTATGTGGAGAAGAAACTTGATTTGAGTAGCATCATTCAGGACTTGAAGGATCCCATAGAATTCCTGCGCCAGATCCGAAAAAAGCAAAACCAGGTGGACGTCATCCGGAAGCCAACAACCGTAGTGATGTGTCAGGAGTGTGAGAACCGGGCGGCTGTGCTAAAGTGTGAGCAATGCAAGGACTACTTCTGTCAGGATTGCTTCAACAGTACCCATGCCACTGGCAAGCGGCGAGCCCATATCACTTCTGATGTGGAGCAGCTGGTGTGTGCCGCCTTCGAAGACCGTGTTGCCACTTGTCAATGTGTTCAGTGCGGTTTGTTCTATTCTGATGAGGGCTTCATGCACGTCCATGCTTGGGATGCCGCACGTCCGGATTTGCGGAATCATCTCAAGCGGGTCATCAACGGCTTAGTCTGCTTGGAGTGCGAGCACTACAATGCTTCCGTTCTCTGTGAGGATTGTGTGGACCTTTTCTGTACAGAGTGCTTTATCCGGCTCCATCGCAAGGGCAAGCGACGTCAACATGTTCATTTGACCATTGACAACACAGGTCAGATCTTTCGAGGTGGTTTTCTGGTGCCACCTGAGGAGGCACAGGTGTTGACAGATCGCGCACGATCCACGGTTGAGACAGGTCCATGGGTGCCATTTCGCGATGATGAGCTCAATGTCTATTGGTACCACTTGGTAGAGAAAAGGTCTGTCTCGCAGAGTCCCGTTGATCCGGTCACAGGAGTGGATGCGGCAGTTGGTGTTGACCCTCTTCCTGATGAAGAGGAGGAAGCGGAATGAAGGTAATGCTACCCGCTTCAAGATTGGTGCATGTTGAGGGAGATTGAGCTGCAATGCTTCAGACTGTTTCACCGGCTCAGATCCAACTACACAGTTTCACAGATGAATTCCGGACTTGTGCTTCGCCCAGTGAGAAAACCTTGGCATTAGTTGTTTGACAGTTGTTAAGTCTCTCCTGCCTTGACAGTTTCATGCAGGTCCTAAACATTCCTAAACTTGAGACGTGTTTGTACCAATGAATTTCAGATGTTTCATCATTTGTCTGCTATTCTAGGCACATGATGGCACCCAGGATCCCTAGAAAGGGAACTCCGGAGTGAGAACTGATAGAACTGAGCGTTTGGAGATGTCAGATGTCAGGTTCCCTTTCATCAGGCCCAGATGGGTGGCATGTTGTCCTCGGACCAGAAGGCGAAGTCGGCGAAGTCGGCGAAGTCGGCGAAGTCGGCGAAGTCGGCGAAGTCATGACATACACAGGGCCTAGGGCCTATCAGGGTCTATCAGTGCCTCCATGAGTCCCCTAGATTCCAATAGATTGCCAATAGAAGCTTTGCTGGATAGGGCTGATAGGACTGATAGGACCTGAAGTTGCCGGAAGTTGCAGATGTGGCAGCCGCAGGCACTCTACTTTCTTGGGATCATCGACATCCTGACGCCCTACGATGGACGAAAGCACTTAGAGCATTGGTTCAAGGCATGAGTGCGGATGAAGATGCCCAGATCCCCTTCAACTTGAATCACATTCATGGACACTATGAGTACCATGAGTACTATGAGCTGTCACGAGAGTATTGAATTCCCTGAACACCCAGACAGGAAAACGACAGAAAAAACAACAAAAGATATTCCACCCTACCTTCCAACATCTTCCAACATCCAGTCCCCACCAGTCCATCCATCAACACCTGTTAAATCTCAGCGACCAAAAGCGTGCCCAAGATACATAGTTTTCTCATGTTTTCTCGGTGGAGCTGTTCGTCCTCAATGATGTTTCCAACATCTCGGTATCAGTTCTCATCCACTCCTTCATTTCAATCATCATCGCCATCGCTGTCGTGATTGTCATCATTCTCATCCCTTTGAAACACTTTGAACCTCATTGCCATCCTCATTTTGGTGATCCTGTGTTCCTCTCATCCTTGCTCGGTCGATATTTTGTTAATCCCCCTGTACTTTCGTTCACTGTGTCCGGGTTCCAGGCAAGCAATCAGTCCAACCCGCCGCTGTTTCTTTTCTTAATCTTTCCTATGCTCAAATGTCTTGGATCATGCAAGGCGCTTCGGTATGATAGCAAGGGTGTGTCTTGCTGCCCTCCGGCTATGTATGCTGAGCGCTTCAACCAATTCATGAAAAATGCAATTGTCTGAGGGAAACCTTGCAGAGCAGTTTCTCCCCGTGGAGATTCTGGTCAGTCTCAAAGTTAGGTTTCACACCAATTCTGGACTCAGCCTTTCAAGACCTTTGACTTTTCAACAGTTTCAAGCCTATTAAGCGGTTGCATGTTGACACGTTGACCTTTACTGAGTCTTGAAGAAGAACTTGGGTTCAATGAAGCTCAAGAAATTCAGGCGATGTGCTGCATTCAGCACTGAAGCTTAGCATCATTTATGCATTATGCCATATATAATCATTCTCGGTGCTTGTGTGCCTGGCTTTCGGCAAATTTGTTCATTCGATAGTGAGACCATGTGAGACCTGCCTTTGCGTAGCTCAATGGCACACCGCCGTACAGGCCAAAGCCAGTCAACACTCAGTAGGATATTGCTAGGTTGCTTCAAGTTCCCTCAGGCCTTCCTTTGTTTGGACCTTCAAATATCATGAGAGCCATTTCCGATAGACATGGACCCTTTGCTCATGCCCTTCTTTTCAGAAGATATTCTATGACCAAGCTGTTGTTGAAAGAAGTGTTGCCCCAATAGTCAATGCACCTCAAAGCTGGCTCAGAATCATTGGAAGGTGTGGACCAGTGTGGAATCACATTGTGCAGCTGCTTGGAAAGCAGAATTGCCTTACAGACTCTGTTCCAACCTGCGGGAGACAAGCGTCGTTGAGTTGTCGTTGAGTTGCTTGTTGTTGGCTGAGTTGCTTGTAGTTGGCTGGTTCAAGATTTCAGGAAGATTTTAGAGGAGATTTTAGGAGCAAAAAAAGGGCACCAGAGGCTTCAGATGTCAGGTGGCTGCGTGCCGCAGCTTGTTTTTGTCAAACCGTGCAGAGCTCACAAACAAAGAATGGCCAGAACTTGGCCTTGCCATGCAAAAGAAAGATCAGGCTTAGAATTTGGAATGCGTTGATGAAGGAATAGAACCAGACACATTGAATAATACGCTGCGCGGAATTCATGTGTTCACATTGGTGTTTTCCTGCTAGTTAAAGACTTTGCAAAGGAATGCATCACTCTGGCTACAAGATCGCAAAAGACAGAGCCAGTAGTCGGTAATCAACTCAGGACAACATGGGCAGTGAGGAGATTCTGAGGCACCTGCGTTGGTACCTCACCACTGAGCCAACGCCCCAGGGTCGGTTGGAGGCCGAGTTTGGCAGCTCGCAAGGCCCTGCGGGGCTTTACGTAGCGAGCTCCCAGCCGAAGCGGCGGCAAGCTCCGGCAGCAGCTCCGGCAGCAGCTCCAGCAGCAGCTTCAGCAGCAGCTCCGGCTGCATCTGCGCCTCCAGATCTAACGCCCAAAAATCTTTCGCCAGGTCTTGACATACTCATTGACTGGTTGGTGGAGGAGGTTGAGGATAAGCAGTTGAAGGAAAGAGCTGCCAAGTGGCGAGGGGTGAAGGTGAAAAATCCTACTGGTCGAGGATCAGGGCTGTTGAAGAGGCGTGGTTGTGAAGGTCCTGAGGCTATGGACCTCTATGTGTCCTGGATAGTGGCTGCTTTACGGGACTTTCCATATCTTAGTATGCCTGAGGGCAGGGACGCCGGAATTTGGATTCGAGATGAAGTTATCGCCAAGGTCTTCGAGGAACGCTGGGATTTCTACAACAACAAGAGGCTGCAAGGTTTTGACCTGGAAGAGTTCTACGAGGTCTTGCGGATCCTGCTGAAGTGGCTGAAAGATATCCAGAAAGAGCTCAAAGAGGACTGATGAAGCGAAGACGGACGCATCCGTGAGATGCTGTGAGAGGGACTGCGATGGACCACTGCGGTGTGCCCAGCCGGTCCTCCCAAAAAGGGCGTTTAGGGCAGGATGCCAATGGCTGACAGATCTGACAGGGTTTGTTTGATGTGGACTCTTGTTGTCACTGAGCTGGTTTCTAATCTATTTTCCCAGCTTTTTCCAACTGTTCCTGCAGTTGAGCAGGGAATTCTATGGCTTAAGGTGCCAATCGAGCCGGCATGTTTACGCATGAATCCGAATAAGTAAGTAAAGATGACATTGGCCGGACTTGGAGCGTCAGAGATTGAATAAAAGACCCGTTGAAGTTGATGTCCCATGCTTGATTGCTAGAGAACTTATATATGTTACCGTATGTATATATATATATTATTATATATATAATCTTCTATAATCACACACACACACGCACACACACACACACATATATATATGCACATATATATATATATGTATATACATACGTATATATATATATAATATTATATATATATATTACATGCCTAGGAAGGAGCTAGGAAAGACAGGGAGCAGTAGCTGAAGAGCCATGGCCGCTTGCACCATCGCCAACGTGAAGGCCCATTCGGTTGTTCGGAGAATTTTGCAGAATTATTGGAGAATTGTTTTTGTTGGATGGACGTGCAGTCTCGCAAGGAGTTGCAAGGCTCCATCTCTTGCTCAGGTCCTTGAAGGCAAGGAGCTTTCCAGAGCACCAGCCTTATTTTTTAAATTGTTCAATCCAACATCAACATGGAATGCAGTGACAAAAAGCGACCCGCACAAGTTCCTTGCAAGTTTTCGCCGGAAATCAAATCTGCAGGTGGATGATGATATCATTTTCGAGGCTTTCGCAGTTGCAGACAGACTTGGTCACCCCTGGATGTAGTTTTCATTCGTGCCGCGAGATCTGAGATCCACAAAGCGTTTCGAAGGGGTCCCTGCTGTCAGGTGACTCTGGACGTGGCACAGGCACTAGCAGAAGACATGGTCTTCCGGTGCGTGTACATACCTTATGGTTCAGGCGGGCTGTGAATGACTACAAATTCATACATTATCCATCATTCTCCTACGATTGTTTTGAAGAACATGAGTAATGTCGTGAAATGAAAAGACACCCTCAACAGAAAAAAAGGTCAAAAAGTCGGGGTCTAGCGTTGGATTACCCAGTCCAGCGATGTGCAGCTGCCCAGTCCAGGCTCTGAAAAAGAGTTGGAGTCCATCGATGTGGGTGATGGACCAGGCTTGAGACAGGCCAGGAAGGAAGAACCACCTTGAATAACTGGCTGGTCCTGATGGGTCCTGATGGGTCCTGATGGGTCCTGATGGGTCCTGATGGGTCAGACCATGTCTGGAACATGCTCATGGCCCGATCCGCGCAGGGCTTGCTGAAATTTAACTTTGAGTCAGCACCTCCTGCCAAGACAGACCTGGAGGCGATTGAATTGACAGAAACAGGTCGATCACGTACAGCCAATTCCAGCCAATCGCCCTGCATGAACCGTGGCACGCTTGGTTGAGGCTAAGAGCGCCGACAGCCAAGAGAGCGGACCATTGGAAGTCGCCCTTTGGTCGCAAAGATGATGTTCATTTGAGTAAATCTTTTTGATTCTTTTTGTTTATCTTGTGTCGGGGTGTGGCGTGCGACAATGTTTTTCCAGGCTGGCCTCTATATTTCTGCTCTGTATGGAGGCAAGTACCTATACCATGGCCATGACAGCCATGTTCATGAAACAGTCCCTATGTCATCTATGGCCGCCAGGAAAAGAGTTCTGCCGAGTTGGCTACTATGTGTTCCTTGGTGATAAGGATGATATGATGCAGCCTTTTGGTTGTAATATTGAGGGGCTCCAAGTAGATTGAAAATACTTTCTACATCTTTTGACAACAGGAAGAGCCGGTGCTTCGAATGCTTAAACTTAAACTGCCATAGTGGCTGCATTAATTCAATAATGGTTGCATATTTGTGCATATTATTGCATATTGTTGCAATAAGATCTATAAGGAAACTTGAGGACAATCTCAACTCATGAGCTGCCTTCCTGGGACTTTTGCACAGGCGCTATGAGTATGATCCCGAGCTTCAGGCGAGTTGCGAACCCCAAACTGAAGCTGGATTTATATCGATTAAACATGATTAAATAAACGCTGTTTATACCATTTTGAAAAACATCAAATGTAACCAAGAAGCGCAGTGGTGATATGATCTTCAGGATTTTGATCCACCTCCGCTGCAAAGCTGGGCCAGGAAAATCCTCCAGAGACGGTCGACTGGGATCACGTTCATCGGGTGCTGGCCTTCTGCTCTGACGATCGGAAGAGCCTTGCTAGTAACTGGTAGCAGGATTCTAGTAGGTAACAGAAACGGTATGGTATCATTGGCTGAGTCTTTTTTTTTAAAATAAATAAATACATAAATATATATATATATCGCATGCGCCTCGTCACCGGCAGTGGTGAAGTCAGACAAGTAAGTCCCGACTACAGGTGCTGAGTGCGCCCCGTGTCACCAAATTTATCATTCCCTGGGATTCAGAGGAGAATAAATAGTCGGCTGCGACATGTTGCGACATGCTGCGACATGCTGCGACATGTTTTTCATGTCTTTTTTCAGCTTGGTCAAGACTGGTGTCCACCATATCCTGCAGGACATGGATGTGACTGGAGCAGGAGCTCTTCGATCCACGATTTCACGTCCGTCAGAAAACGATGATGGAGAGAGAGAGTGAGAGAGAGAGAGAGAGATCATGAAACGAGATTCTACATGTGGCGACATATGGCGACTAAATTCATTTATATACACAATGGATGATATGGATGAACATAGATTTTCAGGACATTATTTGACCTTGATCACATTTTTCATCGTGTTTCTAGGCTCCTGTTTGGATTTGTTTAGTTTAGGGCGTCGGGGCAGGAGCCGAGGAGATGCTGCAGTGACAGTGAAGGGCGGCCTTGTCGTTACCGTGTCCACGCTGAGAGCATTCGATTCCGGAATGCCTGGGGCACAGGTGGGCGGACGACACGCATCGATCATCATCGATCTGTAGAATTCTGTAGGGACTTTGGCTTCCAGTGCGTGGGGCTTCAAAGGGAAGAGGGGCAATCTGTCTTGTTGATGGTAGTGCGTGCTGATGATGCGGCACTTGTAACATCCGTTTTGATCAGATGCTCCAAAGCGCTGCTTGTAAGGGTTCGTCAGACTGCGGGCTAGAAAAGCCTGCTGAAGCGTTGTGACCTTCGAAAATCCTGCTGTAGCTGCGTCCCTGCCATCCAACTGGTAGTTTCCAGGAACAATCTTCCGGTGCAATCAGCAGTTGACGGTGCCAGATGACATGTGCATTACATGTGCAATCATGTCCACTTGCACCATTTGCCTGAGACTTTGAAATGCTGGAGTCATTTGGAGCACAAGCTTCACCCTCGGCGATGGCAAAATTCCTCAGCTCGGTAGTGTAGCAGCCTCAAGACTCGCCGTGACTCGCCTCTCGGCTTGAGCCAAGTCACATTTTCTGCACCGCGCAGGCCGATGCCGGACTCGGATCACCCAGAAGCTGCCTCAGGATCCCATAGTGAGAGGCATGTGATTCTTGGATTCGCAGATGGAATAAAGTCCGATTCCGATTCCGTAACTTCTCCGGATTGCGCAACTAGGATTGCGCAACTCTTTGGTCGGATTGCGCAACTAGGATTGCGAAACTTGGCTTGCGCAACTTCAGGATTGCGCAACTCCGTTTGAGCAACTTCCAGGATTGCGCCACTCTGCTTGCGCAACTCGTAGGATTGCACAACTCTGCTTGCGCAACTGCTTTTGACAGATTGCGCAGCCCCCAGGATTGCGTAACTCTGCCGGTGCAACTACGATCAACTACGCTGGCCGGATTGCGCAACTCTGCAGCTACACTTCCTCCAAACGATTCCAGCCCCATAGAACTTGAAAATGACACGTGCCGCCCACAAGAGCAAGACGTTATCAAAATTCCCACCCCCATGGAACTTCAAACTGGCTTGGGGTGTCCACAAGGTTAAGGCGATATCAAAATTCCAACCCCTTCATGCGTAAACATGTCAATGCAAAACCCTGCTACTGCAAACATGTCACTGAAGAGCCTTATTGCCCAGAACATGTGAAAGGAGAACTCCGGTGAACCCGGCCCCCCCAAGCGACCATGTCAGTTTGAGACCCGCCGCAAAACAGGCAAGCATGTCGAAGCAGCGCCTTGGAGGATTGCGTAAACGAGTCAACGCAGAAACCTGCTGCAGAAAACATGTCAAGGAAGAGCTTTGCTACTGAAAACATGTCAAAAGGGAACCGTGGCACACACAGCTCCCAAATCGACCATGTCAGTTTGAAGCCTCCTTGGAAACGTGCTTAAACAGAGCCCAAAACAGGTACAAAAAAAACAAATCCTGTATTTTCATGTATTTTCTGCGTTTATATTTACAATTATTCTACATTATAATATCAACATCAGAATCTATTTCTTTCTTTCTTCCTTTCTTCCTTTCTTCCTTCCTTCCTTTCTTTCTTTCTTTCTTTCTTACTGTCTCTCTCTCTTACTGTCTCTCTCTCTCTTACTGTCTCTCTCTCTCTCTATCTATCTATCTATCGATCTATCTATCTATCTATTTATCTATCCATCCATCCATCCACCCATCTACCCACCTACACATCTATCCATCTATCCATCTATGCATCTATCTATCGATCGATCTATCTGTCTATCCATCCATCTAGCCATCTATTCATCTATCCATATATCTATCTATTTATTTTCTCTAAATTTCTATCTATTTATTTATTTATTTATCTAGGTATCTATCTATATATCAATCCATGTCTATGTCTATGTTAATATCTAGGTCTATGCAATTCAATGTCCATATCTATGTCTCAGTCTATATCTATATTCGTGTGTATCTAAATCTATATCCGTATCTGTGTTTGTGTCTTTCTGTTTGTCTATAATATATCTTCGGTCTATCCATCTACCTACCTATCTACGCACCTGTTTACTTTTTTGGAAAATCACACACGCAAACACACACACACACATCACATATATATATATACATTCAACACATTTGATAGCATAGTCATGTATAATCATGTATAATCATCAATCAGCAGATTTGGATAGTTTTCTGAGCTTTCCTGACATCTTCGTTGTAGCTTTCAACTTGGCTTGCAGGCCGCCAGAGCCGAAAGCACTGCAAGGCTGTAGGCCGCAAGCTCCTGACAGTGCAGGCTGGGGCTCGGAGAAAGTTTCAGCCAGTCAAGATCCATCCAGGATGATTGTTGAAAATTATTGAGATGTGGAGGACCATGTGGACCAATCATTTTGGACGATTCTTGGATGCCAGGTGAGGTGACATCATTTTCTGATATCGAGTTTCGATTGGATCTTCTTTCAGAGCAGGCAGGAACTGATGTGCAGGTTATATCAACTGGCATTACCGTCCGTGCGACGCCTGATGTCACTTGCTGTCACATATACCAAGCTTCCATGTATATGTTTACACACTTCGAAGTCATTTGATTTGCTTTTGTAGGAATCGATTTGTATCTTTTCTTTTCGTGTCTTTCATCGAGTCTGAGTCTTGGTGGCCGGGATGTTTCCATAGTTTTCCCACCTCGCAGGTTGACGCTTGCCTCAGCGAAATCCACTTGTTGGGCGCGCGAAGTTCGCCTGCAAACCCCAAATCCGTCCGCTCCACCATCTGCTCCACCGTCCGCTCAGCAACATCCCTTCGCCTATCCAGTTACCGCTTTCGAGGCTGGGCGGCTAGGCTGTCAAATGCATGTCAACCTTCGCCTGGAGCAACCATCAAGCTATGTCGGCGATGTCAACCAGGCAAAGCCTGGCAAACCTTGCATGCATGAGTTCACTTCGGATATTCCCGCACCATCTTGGCCGCAGGTTCTGAGTTGTCAGCCATCATTGACATCATGTCTGAAAAGCCTCTACCGGAAGCGGCAACTTCACACCAGCTTGGACGGTTATCAACCAATTCTGTCACCCAGGCAGCATTTTATGTAGAAGCTCAGCAGTTTGGGATGTCACTCGGGCCGCCTTTTGGCTGAAAGAACGCAGCAATTCATTAAGTCGTTGGCCACACATCAGTTTCCAAGCACGAACAGTTCAGTTTACATCAGTTAACCCAGTCAGATGTTATTGTAGTTCGACAGTTTGCTGGAGTTAGCTTGGCTAGCTATTCAACAATGCTCCACCGACGGTTTTTTCAATGTTCCTTTGTGTTCTTTTTTTGTTTGTCCAATTTTTTTCTGCGAAAGTGAAGATTCGTGCAAAATATCTAAAAGGCACCAGACAGCTGGCGAAAAATGGATTGCCCCACACGGCCGTACTTGTATTAGATGAACATTTCGTCCAGTATAGTTTTGCACCGGAAGATCCGACTATCGATGCATGCACGACTGCAACTTGGACCACTTGATTCCAAGGTTCCGAGCCGAACAGGCAAAGGTGATGGACAGCGCAACTTGCGGCAGTCGATCATGACGAACGCCACCAACACCACCAACGTCACCAACGCGACCGGCATGACCTTCGTTGCTTGGCAGATCTTGGCAGATCTTGGCAGATCTTGGCAGCTGTGGCTGAGCTTGGGCACAGCCGGAAAGTTACGGCAAAGGCCGATGCTCGTCGTGACATTCTCGATATGAACGGAGAGGTGGGAGAGAAACCACGAGATTGTTGATGTGAAAAGATGCGGAAATCGCAAGGACCAACGGGCTGACTTGAAAGACCGCTTGCCGTCGATGGTTTGATTGACAGCTCTCTCGAATAGAGGGATAATTCCCGCGGGAAGGCCTTATGTTGTCGTTAGCGACTTGGGCGGTTTCTGGCTTGGCCACCTTGCCATGAGTCCAGATTCATGGGGGTAACACATGGAAAATCGAAGCAACAGTTTCATCACAGGGAAGTCAGTGAGCGTCCCTGATATATCAGTACCGCCACAGAAGCCTCTTCGTTGGACTGTCACTTCTGTGGGGTAGACAGTCTCCTTGTCATGGTTTTTCAAAAACGGTAAAATTAGAGAAAAGCCTTGAGGAACAGGGTTGGGCACACACACACACACAGCACAGCGCGCAGCGCACAGCGCGCAGCGCACAGAGCACAGCGCACAGCGCACAGCGCACAGCGCAGAGCGCAGAGCACAGAGCGCAGAGCGCAGAGCGCAGAGCGCACAGCGCAGAGCGCAGAGTGCAGAGCGCAGAGCGCAGAGCGCAGAGCGCAGAGCGCACAGCGCACAGCACACAGCACACAGCACACAGCAGACAGCAGACAGCAGACAGCAGACAGCAGACAGCACACCGACAGCACACCGACAGCACACCGACAGCACACAGACAGCACACAGACAGCACACACATGCATTGCGTTGCAGTTTTTTAAAGGTTTGAGCGATTTTGATTGATTGTTTGCCTGGAAGTTCGTATTCGCAAGTGTGCCGCCAGGCAGGTTCTGGTCGAAGCCGGCCACAAGCAACGGTGACTTGGGCAGAGGCAAAACATCATTGAGTCATGATACCACGTGACCAGGTGAACATGGAATAAATGGACACGCTTTAGGATGATGAGATGTGATGACCGTAATTGCACCACCTGGGCTCTGGGCATGCGTTAAAGTTGAGGTGCGCAAATCAAACCTTGACCCTCAGATTCCAAGAAAAAGGGGAATGCCAGTCTCTTGGCCGCAGCGTTATAGCATGGCAACAGTTGCGGATAAGTGAGTCGTTCGAGTGGTATTGGCGAAGGAACATATAGAAAAAGGCTGAATGGTTGCCTGTCACATAGTGTGGGTGACGCAGTGGTACCTGTACAGTAGTCACCTGGTAGTTGTTGCCCCGAGGGATCCACATCATGCTGTGCTCGAGCGTTGGCTCGAGAGGTCAGATCGGTTGACCTCAAAGTGGCTTGGAAGGCCTCGTCTGATGGTAAGGCACCAGCGGAGGACTGCCATGCCTGACCCGTCCAATTTGGCCATGGCTTTCGGCACCAAAACCCATTGTTTTGGATATGTTTGGATCATATTTCCGGCCCACCCTTTCAACATCATGAAACTTGCAATTTTTGACCAATTTAAAGATATATGCCAGGTTTGGACAAACCCATGCTGCTTCCAAATTGGGAGAACCGCTTTCAGGACCTGCCTGGGGATGTGGCGAATCCGATGATGCGATTGGTGCGTCCCATGGTTGAAATGACCCGACTGGAACCATTCAAAGCTGCACCAGCTGTCTTCTAGTGTGGAAACCAATGGCAATGCTTGGCAGATTCGCAGCTTGCAAGGCCTCATTTCTAGCATTTTAACATGAAATATGGATAGATATGGCACGTATGGTTAGATCGGTTTGGCTTTTACTGCCATGCGCTTCCCTTGTCCTTCCAAACAACGAAACAAGACTGGGCATTTCATCCCATGCAAAGGTCACCAGCCATCAGCAACCCAATGTTATACCATGTTATACCAGTGTTGGCCCATTAGCCGGTGTCCCAGAACGGAATCGCTTTGAAAAGATCTGGGAGCTGCTGGAAGATCCTTACACAAGCCGATGCTTGCCCTGAAAGTCTTGGAAGTCAGAGGAAGGCTGAGTTATTGAAGGGACGGTAGGACCGCGCAACTAGTGGCCATACAGTTTTGCACTTGCATACTTTGGAGATCTTTGGAGTCAAAAAGATGAACCGCTAAATTAAATCATGTAGAAAATGATGTATACACCTGCCGGAATGTTTTGAATCGAAAAGCGATCCATTGCCAGGCTTTTGTCTAAATTGACAAAGGACCAAAAAGGGTGTATTTGGAATAATAACTAACAGATGCACTTTTCAGACGACCATGTGATCTTTCAAGTCACATAGAGAATCTCTTTTTCCTCCGTTCTTGTGCCCAGAGGACGTGGCAAAATGTAGTCACCGGTTGATCAACCTGATCGCTGTTGATCTACGATATATTGTCATCCGCTAGCCAAATCCGCACGAAGTGTTTCCGCCTGAGGTGCTGCTTGGTTTATCTCCCTTTTCCTCAAGGCGCGGATCTCAGGAGAGCCCTGCCTTGTTGTCACTTTTTTTTTGGAGCGCGATTTGTTCAGAAAGGTTGGAAATAGGGGCCCAGTTTTACCACGTTTGTGGAAATGCAGTATGCCTTCTCTGTCATATTTGAGCATATGTTGTTCGAATGCTCAAAGACCTTTGCTTACAGAATGTTACGTTCCTGAATATTTTGGAAGCATGAACGCGTAACACTTCAAAACCGAGGGCCATTGATTTAGTTTTTTTTAGTTTAAAGTTTAGTGTTTTTTGATTACCATCTCCTTTCTACTGTGCCGCTTCTCTGCTTCTCTGCTTTTGTTCTTCTCGGTTTTTTTTGCTTCTCTGCTTTTCTGCATGTCTGCTTTTTTGCTTCTACACTTCTCTGTTGTTTTTGCTTCTCTGCTTTTCTGTTTCTTTTTTGCTTTTCTGTGATTTTGCTTGTCTGCTGGTCTGCTTTTTTTTGTTCTTCTGTTTTTTTGTTTCTCTGCTTTTTTGCTTCTCTGCTTTTCTTTTTTTTGCCTCTACGCTTCTTTGTTTGCTTCTCTGCTTTTCTTGCTTCTCTGCTTTTTTGCTTCTATGTTTTTTTTGTTTTTTGTTTCTCGGTTTTCTGCTCTATGCCTTGTATTTGTTTTGCTTTCGTTTCTTTTTTGTTTTCTACTTGCTTCCTTGTTGTTCTGCTTGATGATAAGTTCAGCTACAACTGCATGAAGAACAGCACCAGCAGCACAAACAACAAGAGCAGCAAATACAAAGGAGCAACGAGAACAACAAACGCAACAAAAGAAACAAGAACAACAAGAACAAGAACAGCAAAAGAAAGAAGAACAATTACAGCGGCAAAGGGGGAAGCTGTCTCTGTGTTCCTTGGGGGAAGCCACTGCTGAGCACAGTTTATATACGCTGTCAAGGCTCAAGAGAGAGATAGAGGTATAGCTTGTCCACTAGGCGCTGCACTGACTGGCTATTGGCCGACAGAGGAAAACTAGTGCTTGCAGCCTGGGAAGATGCTTTAGCTGATCCTTGAAGAGGACGCTCCCTCTTCAAGTGGCAGCGGAGCTGTGATCCTGCACTGCAGGTGAGCTCCAGGTAGAGCCCACTAGTGGCAAGCCATGGCTTTGATGATGACTTCGGCATTGTCTATGCAGATGGTTCATGGAACTAGTGTGACTCTTATGCAATCACCCCAACAACCAGCAATTCACATGAATCAGCAGATGACCACGAAGGTTGTTCTGGATATGATTGAAGGACCAGTTTCTTTGCTTTTGCGGATGCAATTGATGATTGGTGTGACATCACAGAGCTGGAACCTGAAAAAAGTGGACTTGCATTGCGGAACAGATTAGAAGGTGATGCGTCTCAATACAAAAGACTACTGAAAATAGAGTTGCTGAGAGGCCCAAATGATGGAGTGAGCTATTTATTTCAAAAAAATCTTGCGACCACCGCCGAGAGCCAGGGTTTCAGGCATACGGGCTTCCAACTCTGGAGATGTCATCTTTGTTGACCATGCCGAGATGTTGCTGGGGAAGAACAAGTACATGCTGTTGCTTGTTCTTGGTGGTGCATCAAACTTACTTTGGGCTACGGCACAATCGTCACTGAGCAACAAAGAGGCAATTCAGGCTCTAAGGTTGTGGACTGATGAGAACAATTGTGTGCCTAAAGCCAATGTAGGTGATGAAGCCTTTTTCCAAGAAGACTGTCTGACTTACTACTGAACTCATGGTATCAAGGAATGTCCCTGTGGTTCAAGAACCCCTGCCAAAGAACCTTGGACAAGATACCAGGTGTCTGTCCAGCCTTGAAGAGTTCTCTGGCCTCTGCACACCCCAATGGGAAGATGTGCTCTCTGAGTGCCTCGGCTGAGAGCAATACTCCTTCCTTCTTGGCCAGCTCCGTAAGTCCAAGAGATATGGCAACCTTCAGAGATTCACCAGCGAGACCTTCGGTGATCTTGCTGGCCACTTTCCACTATCACCATCATCATCATCATCATCATCAGCGGATGCATTTACAAGAAGATTCAACATCCAGAAGATCTGGTGGCCTTCTACCTGTGGCAATCTCCAACGGTGAGTAACCACTCACCGTCAGTTGAGCGTTTCTGGCCGAAACAGTGCGTTTAACAGCGTCTCTGATTTTGAACCTATCGGCTACATCTTGCATAGAAGGAGATGGTATGACATGCTGTGCAACCTAGACAACTCGATTCAGCTGAGTGACCAGTTGAGAGGGGTTCTGTTATTGGACCATGCAAACCTCTCACACAACGAGAAGTTGATGACCATGACTCATGACATCCACATTCAATGACCTCGATTTTGAATGATTTTGGCAGAGTTGCAGAGGCACTGGTCAAGCAACATGCGCCTGCACACTCGATCAAAGCTCCTGATGGAAGAATGACGACCAAGCAGACCAGTGGCAGGAATGGTGCCCTGAAGAAGCTTACTTCACTGCTGACTACGAGGAAGATGAGGATGCAGAGGAATCATGGCGATGAGCTGTATGCATGGTATACAGACGACGCTCAGGACCCATGGGTGACGACCTGGGAATGTCATGATGAAGACTGGCGAATGGACAGCATGGTTTGGTGATACAGCTTCCTGGGACGAAGCAAGCACACCAGCAGATGCATACAAGGAAAGGCTCGCCCAACAGAACCTGGAAGGAGATTGTGAGCAAATTGCTATGGAAGTGCAATCGGCGTACCTGTCCAATGAGGATCAACATGCCTACCTTGGAAAGGGCAAATCCAAGGGGTATGGAAAAGGAAAGAAAGGCATGTCCAAAGGAATGAAAGGAAAAGGCTATGGCAAAAGCAAACGATAAGGAAAAGGCAAAATGAAAGGAAGAGTCAAAATGAAAGGAAAAGGCAAGGGAAACAACTATGCCAAGCCAGGAGACTTGAGCCTGGAAGATCGCAGGAAGAAACTTCAGGAGTTGAACGCCAAGACAAAGTGTCAAGCCTGTGGGCAAGTTGGGCACTGGGCAGGTGAAAACACATGTCCAAAGCGTAAGCAAACGGCTAACCTTTCCACAGGTCTTGTCACGCCAAAGGTAGTTGCGCCACAAGATGAAGGATTGGTGTTGTCCAATTCAGACCATGACGACACGACTTTCATGGCTGTCAGGAAAGAGCCAAAGGAGAAGAAGGCGCGCAAAGCAGCATCACAAAAAGGGCCATCCTCACCAGTCTCAGCAGATAGCTGTATCCAGATTTCTTCAGATGATGAAGCCGTCGGTTAAGATGCCAGAAGAGCTGCAGCAAGAATGGGCGTAGATCCACCCTTAGCCCAAGTGGCAACAACGGAGTCTGCGCCATCAACACCTGCTGAAGCTGAAGTCACATATGAGATGATGAGAGGATTGCCGCTGAAGGATGCGGTCTTCAGGACAGGCAACCACCGAGGAACATCCTTTGACAAGGTAGTGCATGATCACCCGGAGTTTTGCGAAGAAAGGGCGCAGGACCTCATCGTGGACGACATGAAGAGAAGTTGTTCAAAGCATGGTTGACGTCATGCTTTGAGATCATTCGTGGAAGGCTGAAGCCAAAGGAAAGGGCAGCCTGGCCAGACGCAGATGCCATCTATGAAATGTCGTCTAGCGTCTAGAGATCTCACTTCTCCAGAGGAAAGGCCTGGATGTGAAGGTGGATGCAAGAACTTCTCATTCAACTTATGAGATCTAGACGTGCAAGAAGTGTGGCAGAAGAACAAGAACAAAGAAAGAGTTCATGAAGCTGTATGAGCCAGATGCCTGCCCACACCAGACAACAGACAACAGAGGGTCAAGTAAGACCACATCCAGGACATTTTGTCTCCAATGTACAACATTGTACAACATTTATTTCAGAGATCCCGCAGCAGGAAAGCATGAGAAGAACACTGTGCTCAAGGAGATGGACACGAAGAGCACCCCTGCAATCATTGATGCATCCAGGAGGTGGGTGAGTCAGGAGGACATGCAACTCACCAAAGAGGAAGCACTGATCTGTGTTGAGAGACTGGGTGGATATGTAGAACAAATGTCCGAGAAGATCAAGCCCACCGAATTAATAAACGCATTGCCGGATGCAATCGATGTCCTGACACAGAGATCAGCATCCAAAGGATCAGCACTCATGGTTACCCACAAAGGTTTGATGCCTATTTACAAAGGTCCAGCGATCAAGACGCTGAGACGTGGACATCATAGCAGATCCAGGTGTTTGAGCCATCCTGGACGAAGGACGCAACGCTGCATGCCACAGCTAGATGTGGAGAGAGAACGCAGGGTTTTGTGGTCGAAAGATTTGGCTCCAGAAGTGAGCGGTTTTGGCAAAGCACCGATCATTACCAAGCCCCGTTTCAGGTTTCCATTCAACATTCACTGTGGACCAATGAGACACACCGTTGCGGGTGTGCTGGATTCACAAGAGCTGGGGCATGATGGATTTGTGCCACTCCTTTTGTCAAGAACATGCGTGACGCAACATGTTACTGTTACTTGACCAACGGTGATGCATCAATCGAGCTATGCATTTGCGATCAGAATGGCTTGCCGTGCATCGAGATGGCATGGGATGATGACAGATTCCAAGCAGTACTCCAGACCACCGGGGCAAAGAAGAAGACAACAAAGCCTGCGGAACCAACATACTGCAAAGGAATCCCGACCAAAGGAAAAGCCCCAGAGGGTGACAACCTCTAAAGGAAGAATCTGGAGGACGATCAGATCCAGAAGACGTTCCAAAGCGCAGACAGAAAGATGAGCCTGAAAAGGGATATTGGGATGAGAGCAAAAAGAAGCGAAGGAGCGAGGAACGAGACAAGGATCGAGACCATCGGAGACGTGGACGGGAGAGGACGCCAGAATATCCAGCAAGAGCAATGGCATCGAGGCCTGAGAAGAAGGAAAGAAGGTCAAGGTCTCCAGCGCCATCAAACAAAGCACAACTTGACGAGCTGGATGACGAAGCTTGGCTGAGGATGCAACAGAGGATTGCA